TCAAGTCAACAAGCATTACACTGGTGGTCTCCTACAAGAAAGCCTTGGGGTTTGGTCGTGAATTGTGTCGAGATGGAGACCTAGCCAAGTTCATGAAGGCAATAAATGTGAAATGAAGACCTGTATTCAAACCCTAGCTTCACCTCTCACTTTCTTGGTCACCTTGGGTAAGTCCCTTCCCTTTTCAGGGCTTCAGTTCTCAATCTCTAAGATAAAGGGAGCAAAAGGGTTTTTTCTGGCTTTACTGTTTCATGATTTTACCCTTATTTCACTGAGAGTTATAGCCTCTTGGATCAGTTGTGAATTCTTAGGGGTGAATGGGCAAACATGCAAGAGGACAAGATAAATGGAACGGTGTATGGCCATGAGCTGTTTCTTATGAGCCAAAACTTCCGGGGCCAGAGGTCTTCCTTAAGCACTACCAGTCATTGGGTAACAGCCTCAGTGGTTAACGCAAGGTCATCCTGTGCATCCTCCAGCCAAAATAGGATGCCCCCAGCTCCTGTCTCTGCATCCTCAGCAGAGGAAGCGTTCCATGGCACCACAGAATTTACATTAGCTTCCAGTTAGCCTACTAAGCACATTTGGTTAGGTGTGAGGTATGCTTAAGAAATTCTCACTGAAGCCAGGAGGAGAACATTCCAGAGATGTGGAACGCATGTGCCTAAAATGGGAATGACACAACTCCAGCAAACATCCAGGGCCAATTCAGTAGGCTCTCTATTAGCCTCCCACTTTCCCTTGCATTTGCTTTCTTTTTGTTTTAAGTGTTGTTAAAAGAACAACAAATTTCTTACTTGGCTGTGGGTATGAATTAACTGACATGGTATGCAGGGAATAGCATTTATAGGATCAGAGAACAGAATATGGTATCATGAATGAGGAGACCTATGTACATGTTCTTTTACCTCTCTGGACCTCATTTTCTTCATCTGAAAAATACAGGGATTGAACTAGGTAGGATCTTTCTAGTACATGACGATCCTAAGTCATCTAGTCTGCTACATCAGGATCCCACGGCCAGCATCAGCAAACTCCAACCCGTGGCTGCTATCTGTTTTTGTAAGGCTTGTAAGCACCACTGAAGCAGGCTGGCACTGTGCACCTCGGAAACCAAGCCATCTGTGCTCCTGTGTTCCCTCTTCCTCCCTCTGCTCCCAGTGCCTGCCTTCCCTGCCAGGGACCGTGCATTGCTGCTATCCAGGGCCCAAGCTAGTTGCTATGTACACGCTGGGGTTGTGCTACTGGTGACTGCTGGTCACTGAACAGTGGAATTTCATTCAGTTAAAAAAAAAAGAAAACACCAGGAAATTCTGCCATTTGCAACAACATAGATGAAGCTAAAGGCCATTATGCTAAGTGAAATACACCAGACCAAGTCTAAGTGACTAGTAAGTCACTAATGGGCTGGTAGCACATACAGCATGGATATACCAGACAAAGAGATGATTCACTTCCTGGGCAAGACACAGCAGGACGAAATGAGGTTACATGACATGACTCAGAACAGCATATGATTTAAAACTTATGAATTGCTAGAATTTTCCACGTAGTATTTTATGACCATTCTTGAAACCCAGAAAGTGAAATGGCAGTTAAGGGGTCTACTGTACAGACTTAATCCTAATGCTAGTACTAGAAACCTATAAATGAATGAGATATGGCCTCTGTGTGGAAGAGTTCACAGTCTAAGAAATTTCAAATTGTAATGGCAAAAATGGCACCAGGTGTTAGACCTGGGTCCTTGACTTTGGCTGAGAAAGAATTCAGAGCCAAGAATCAAATACAGTGATCCCTCACCTACCTCAGGAGTTACGTTCTAGAGACCCCTGCAATAGGTGAAAATCTGCAAAGTAGCAGTATTGTATTTATTTTATTATTTATATATATTTTAAGGCTGTATAAACACTTCCAACACTCCTATAAACCTTTCCCACTCTCTTATTAACCTTTCCCACACTCTTATAAACACTTCACATGCTCCTAAACACTTTCTACACTCTTAAACCTACGTAATTTTGACAACCTATAAAATTATATATGGGTACTCACCAGTGAAGCATACAACTTGAATGATGAAGATCATGAATAATGTAGCTATGCGGTATTGATGGCAATGAAGGTGATGACAATGAGATGGATGTGCTGCACAGCCAAGGAGAGCATTACAGCTCTTCTGAAGAGACCACTTCATCAGGCAGTGCAGTATCTTCGCCCTGGACCATAACTTCTATTTCCGCTAAAGGCATAGGCGTAACTGACCTCTTCATCCAAGTGATGAACGTAGTTATGGGGAGTTGCTGGTGCTGCTTTTTCTTCTGAGTGAGAAGGTTTTTATAAACTGATATGCCACTTTCAATTGTATTTATAAAGTGCAACGAACAAAGCATCTGGGGGTCCCATTCTTCAGCCACTCACTTAAGTACTTTGGCCATTCTGACCATGGTTGCAAGATGATTGAGTGTTAGGCCAACCTCCTCCTCTTCTCCATCCCGTACATCGTCTTGTTCCTCATCCTCTTCTTCACTTGCTGACTTCGTCATCTCCATCAGGTCTTTGTCCATCAACGGTTGTGAGTGGACATCGATCAGGTCATTCACGTCGTCAGGAGTCCTATCATTGAAGCCATCTCCTCCCAGTAGTTTTGCCAGCTTCACAACCTTAGCTACCGCGGAGGCAGCTTCTCCATGCAGAGAAATGCTCTTGAGTCCAAAGCGTCTCTGAAATTTGTCAAACCAGCCCTTTGCTGGCACTGAATGGGGTTGCTCTGGTGGGAGAAGCACTCGACAGTCCTGCTTCTGCACCGTTGTCCTCATCTTCATCCTTGTCACCGTTGTGAACGACTATGCTTTCTGAAAAACTCATAAAGTTCCTTGGCCTTCTTCTGGATGGTGTTGGTATTCAGCAAGATATTCTTCTTCCGGCAGTCATTTATCCACAGGGAGAATGCAGACTCCATTCTCACAATGGCCTTATTGCGGGAAGTGACCACCCTCTTTGCAGTCTTGTAAAAAGCCATTGTTGCCGCAGACCTAGTATTCTTCTCATTTTTATGTAGCGAACAGTAGATTCGTTGATCCTGTAATGGCAGCCTACAGCTACGTAGCTTTTGCCTTCCTTTAACATGTGGAGAAGTTCCACCTTTTCTTTGATGGTAGTAAGCTTATTTCTCTGGCACTTGGGTTCACTGCCAGAAGCCTTAGATGGCGCATTCTAGGGCTTGAAATAAATTCAAACTTTTACAAGAATTTCACAAAAACACAACACCACGGAGCAACACAATGCGCAATGATCAGATGTCGGTGTGAAGTGGACAAGGAGAGATGGTGAACTTCTAGGCACAGTGCAGAAAAGCAAACAGACTAATGCTACAGTCACTGAGCCAATCACCACCCAGGATACAGAACACGTGCTGTGGTTGGTCGCCTTCCATCCCATCAGCCAATAGTGTGCTGTGTACAATCTCACGCTGGCAAGTGGGAGTGGCATCCTGCATTTCCATTGTATACAGCATGGTATTCACCTGCTGATGAAATACATACTGTATTTTATTTCAATTTAATATTACTTTAATATATTTGAATTAACATTTTTATATTTTTCAGTTTAAAATTTTTAGGCAAAAACAATTAAAACCATAAATATTATATGAATACCTATATACCGCAAAGTCCTGCGATGCAGTGAAAACTCCGCGATACAAAATTAGATATATATATTTTTAAAAACCTGCAATACACTGAAGTTGCAATAAGTGAACCGCAGTAGAGCGAGGGATGACTGTACAAGCATATGTTCATTTAGAAAGTCACAGATATAGAAGACGTGAGCTGGGCTATGTGGGCTCAGGAAACAAGTTCCAGAGGCAAAAGACGAGCCCTTGGAACTTTGAAGAAAGAAAGAAAAAAAAAGTAAAGGCATGGGCCTGCTCAAGAGACAGTGGGATGAGTCCTTTGTCTTGAGGGCTTTTATATGAACGTCTCAGGGGAAGATCTCAGTAAGATATTCATCAGCTCTCCATGTGTGTCCTTCCATGGTCATGGTCTTGCCAATGGCGGGCCGCAGGGAAGGGGATCATTAGTCATCGTGGCTGGTCCTGATGTCAGCCCTGGTGTCATCCCACCCGACCACGCTGTTTCTGGGCCTGGAGCTGAGACACGACTCAGGCTTAGCTGTTATCTCTAGGAGCTGTTATCTCTAGGGCTTAATGCGTAAGGGAGTGGTCATGCAACTGCTTGTAAGGGAGTCCTAAGAGGCTATTCTCTGACCCCCTTGTTCCTCCTCTATGGGTGGCAGTGGGGACCTACCACGTGACTAACCACAGGCCAGAGGAGGAAAAGTCAGGGGAGGGTCTGAACTGCCTGAGCAGTGGATACAAAAGATCAGGGGGTCTAAATCACAAGACCAGCGATATGCTAGGGGAGGAATGGTCCCCGTGGGGGTTAGGTCCCATCCCAGTTTTGTCATTGCTAGATCCCTGGCTCTTTCCACCTGTACTTGGTGTATTGTTCTTCCTCTGCTCATGTCTGTCTAACTGCCTGCTATATCATTATGAAATAAGGTCTATGAACGTTTTCTACAGGTCAATGGCAAGACTATCAGAAGAAAGTGCTGGTATAATACTCAGCTTTCCAGTTCCCGAGGAGCTCTGTCCCTGAAACCTTCCACCCACTTTCAGAATGTTTTCCTAGAAGATGAGGGCAGGAGAGGCAGTTGTAAATAAAACAGAACAACGTTCATCCTGAAAGAAACAAAAGATGAGCACTGAGCTTGTCTGGATTTGATCTGCGATCCTGTACTTAACGATAGAAGAGTCTGTCCTACACAGGCTGCTGACAGCGGAGAGGGGCGCGCCTAAGGTGGAGGAGAAACTCGGAGATCCCTGCTGCGCACGCGCATTTGGTCTCCCGCGAGCGCAAAGCTCCACTAAGTCGGAAACCTTACGTCAAATTCTACGTTGAAAAAACGTAGCGAGGAAAAAAAAGTTGGCTCTCGGATCACGTGATGCAGCCGGCGTGTCGTAGACACCTCCTTCTCCAAGATGGCGTCTCTGCTGCAGTCGGAGCGGGTTCTGTACCTAGTCCAGGGAGAGAAGAAGGTCCGGGCCCCTCTCTCGCAGCTCTACTTCTGCCGCTATTGTAGCGAGCTGCGGTCGCTGGAATGTGTGTCTCACGAGGTAACGCAGTCGTCCCACGAAGAGTATGTGTGTTGGGGGAGGGGAAGAGGAGTTCATACTAGTCACCGCATCGGGCGGGGAGGTTCTGGGAGCATGCTGATTGGCTTCTTTTCCGTCACTCAGTTCTTGCCTGAGCTTTAATTTGCTTGTCGTTTGTCACTTGGAAAGGAGGAGCGGCCTTGGGTGGGGCTGAGCGGATTTTCTGGTTCCAGAGCACCATTTGATTGGACAAACTTGGCTTTAGGACCCTCGCCTTCTCGTGGGGGATTGACAGTAGGGTGGGTAGGAAAGAAAAGGGCGTGGGCATGCTTAGTTCACGCCACTTGAGTGGCGAGATACTGTCTTTCAGGGTTGATTTGCGAGGAGTGGAAGGAGGCTTTGTCACTCATGCCCCTCCCATCTGGGAAGTTCTGCCTCTACTTTGGCCAGAAACTGGGCCCACCTCCGACTCTGTCCGGCGTCAGGCCAAGGCCTGCAGCAGGGAAGAGGTTGGGATGGGGGAGCTGAGCAAAAATCGTTTAGAAAAGGGCAGGTCCTGTAAGAAGCTGAGAGTGTTCTGTTAATGGTGCATTCCCGGAGGCTGGGGTGCTATCGTCGTTCACAACAAATAGACGTTGGTGGTGGGATTTCTCAGAAGGTAAAAGACCCCACCCTGTAAAAGAAATCACCAGATCAATAAACTCAGAACTTCTGCAGCGCTTCACTCATCCCATTTGTTACAGTAAACTTTGGGGATTAAAAGATGAGCAAGACATAAATCCTGTGCTGGAGTAGCTCAAAGTCTCAGGAAGGAAAAGCTGATAGTAATAATAGATACAGTTAATTGAGAACTTTCTACATGCCATATGCTTTACATAATCTCTTTTAATTTTCCCTGCAACCCGATGGAAGAAGAAAAGATACCTTTTTAAAAAAGAAAGTTATTTTACAGGTAAAGAAATGGTTGCCCTAGGTCACAGAGCCAGACATTTGGGGGTCGGAGGGAGAACCAAGATTTGAAAATGAGCTGAGTGACTCAGAACTTGGGTGAAGATCCCTGGACTGTTAAAAATGCATGTGAAAAGCATGTCTGATATTATAAGCCACTTTACATATTATTAATAATTTTTTATTGGGGTATTTTTCACAATATTAAGAATAGTCTGGGAAAGCATTTAAATAATAGAAGAAAGCCCTGCCTGATGTAGCTCAATGAATTAAGCATGGGCCTGAAAACCAAAGGGTCGCTGGTTCGATTCCCGGAGGGGGTACATACATGCGTGGGTTGTGGGCCAGATTTCCAGTAGGGGGTGTGAGGGGCAGCCACACATTGATGTTTCGTTCCCTCTCTTTCTCCTTCTCTTTCCCTCTCTCTAAAGGTAAATAAAATCTTTTAAAAATAGTAGAAGAAAAATAAACGTCTATATGTATAATATGGCACTGATTTTTCATGGATTTTTTTCTCTGATAACACTTTCTGTGTGTGCGTATCTCCTCAGGTCCTTTCTTTTTGAGATGCTTCCCTGTTCCAGCTCCATCCTTACAGTGTACTGGATTAGATTTTCATTTGGCAGTGACTAGGGAGTGCAGTCTTTATGCTGTCTAAGGACGTCTTCAGTTACGCCATTCAGCCTGTAGCTGCACCTTTAACACACCGTTGTGTATCTGTGAGATAGAGGCTGGTAGGGCTTGGGAAAGGATGAGACTGGTGAGGACTGGAGGGTCCGGAAAGTTCCCGCGGAGAACCTGGATTGGAGCTGCATGTGAAGGGATGAGTGTAATTTGGAAAGGGGCCCCAAGGAATGATTTATATTTTGCCTTTTATGATGAGTTAGTGCAAATATGAGTTAGCAATACTGTATTTTATATTTGGGGGGATTTTTAAGCTGCAGTTTTACTAATCTTTCAAAGATGGTCCTGTTCATAGCAGGTGATGAAAAGAAGAAGCCAGTTTTTATCATAGTGTCTCTGTTCAAGGGACTCGTCTTCCCTTCTGCAGACTAGAATTCTAGGATTGTCAAATACGATCAATTTACATTTAACCAAATAATCATTCAGACCTTAAAAATGCAATGAATTTAGTTTTTATACAAATTTTTAGCTGTATTTTAAAACACAGCTAAATCGAGTTAAATACATTAGTAGTTCGGCTTAGTGGTTTAATTTTTCATTTGAGTATCTCTGATTGGCTGACTAGCTGATTTTGTAAATGATCGTTTAGACTGTTCTTCAGTGAACATGTATTGCTTCAGTCATGAGCAAACTTTTTAAGTCTCACAATTTAAATGTGCTCAAACCACTACAATTCAATGAAGCTAAACTAGATAGAAGGAGATTTGAGTACAGTTTTACAAATTAGGTTACTTTATTAATCTGTTCTTTAGATTATTATGGAGTTCTTCTTTTACGTAGAGAGTTCTTAACAAATCTAATTAATAAAATCCTGATGAAAGGGAAAAGGAAAGATCAGAAAGGAAAAATAGAAGGGTTTCCGAAAGTCTGGATGGTTAAAACAAACAGGTGATTGAGGAATAAACCTTAAGCTGAAAACACTTAGGTTCTTCGCCAGATCAGTGGCCTCTCACCTTCTGCTTCAGTGTAATGCACTTTGTTTTACTATTCGGCAGAGATATGTGCGCAAGCTGAATTGAGTTTCTTTTCCTCTGATTTTTTAATTTCTTGTTTCTTTCTAGGTGGACTCCCACTATTGTCCCAGTTGTTTAGAAAATATGCCATCAGCTGAAGCCAAACTAAAAAAGAACAGGTAAGACCAGGATTCATTTTTTTTGTTTTCCTTAACTATTTTTGTACTAGCTGGTAAGAAAACACCTATAATGAACTTTACTTTTTAACTAGCTTTTTTCTTTTTTTTTCTTTTGCATCATGCGTGACAAAGATAAAATGTCCTTTGACCCTTTAAATAAATGTTCCGTTTTAGACTTAAGAATTATTGTGAAGATGAGTCAAAGAATTCCCATGTACCCAGTCTTCCCTATTTTTTAAAATTGATTTTAGAGAGAGGGAGAGAGGGAAAGGGGGAAGGAGAGAGGGAGGGACAATAAAAAGACAAACATCAATTTGTCGTTCCATTTATTTCTGCATTCATTGGTTGACTCTTGTATGTATGCTGACCAGGTATTGAACTCATGACCTTGGAGTATTGGGAGGATACTCTAACCAGCTGAGCTACTTGGCCAGGGCCTCCCTGTTGTTAACATCTTACATTAGTATGGAATGTTTGTCTCATTAATGAACAACACTGGTACATTATTATTAAATAAGCAACACATTTTATTAAGATTTCTTTCGTTTTTTCCTAATTTCCTTTTTCTGTTCCAGGATCCTATTCAGGATATTCACATTTTGTTTAATACTTACGTCTCCTCAGGCTCCTATTGTGGTGACATTCTCTTAGACTTTCCTGGGTTTCGATGACCTTAAAAGTTTTAAGGAGTGATGGTTGGATGTATTGTAGGATGTCCTTCAGGTGGAATTTTTCTGATGTTTTTCTCATCAGCTAGGGGAATGTGTTGGGGCAGGAGGACCACAGAGGTCAAGGGAACACACTCTCAGTGTGACCGTCACTGTTGACACTGAGCTGGAGAATCAGTCTGGCTTTAGCTGGTGCTTGTCGGGTTTCTCCCATGTGAAGTTACTCGGTGGCCCCCCCCCACCCCTCCTCCTTTCTCACGCTGTACTCTTTAGAAGGAAATCACTGTCACAGCCCACACTGAAACAGTGACGAGTTTTGCTCCCTCTCTGTGAGGGCTATTTACATAAATTATTTGGGATTACTTTACATGAAAGCTTTTTCTCCCCCACTTATTTATTTAACCATTGACTTAAAGCAGAATTGGCTCATAGATATTTATTTTACACTTTAGTTTATAATCCAGTGATTTTTTATTTTTTGCTCAAAGTGGTCCACCTTTGGCCATTGACCATTCAGTAGACTCTTGTATCCATTTGACTTACCCCAGTTGTTGTATGAGGGATTGTTTGTTTATTCTTCAGAGAACTTTCTTTGCAGTAGTATAAGATATTCTGGGTTCATTCTGTATATTCTCTGCCTCAACCCTGGAATGAGCCATTTTTCCAGGAAGCCTTGGTTTCTTTTATTGGAAAGTGGTATCAAAAAACCGAGACCTGGGTGGTAGGTGTGCTCATCGTCCCTGGCTGCCATGTGGTGTTTCTCTTGGTGTGAAAGCCCTTTGCCACCAGTCATGCTCCCACCACCCAGCGGATGCAAAACATTATTTGTCTTTCGTATCTCTGAGAAATCCCTCTGGTAAGCCATATAGTTTTGTATACTGTCCACACGTTAATTGTATCATTTAATCCTGAAAATATCTCTGTGAGGTGGATACTATTACGACCCTTATTTGAGCATATTATCCAGATGACAAAATGTCACAGTTAATTGGAGTGATGGAATGGAACTTCAGACCAAGACCAGGACTGCTGGTGAATCTTGGTGATCTCAGGTGTGGGGAACTTTAAAGCAACAGGGTGTCAGGGCCGTGGAAGAGGGAATGTTGGCCGAGCACTCGGAGGGCAGTGCCAGAAAGCCCTGAAAGTGCAGCGCTGCTGAACCGTCCCAGTTCGAGAGCATGGCGCGGTGCCTCCTTCAGCTCTCCAGCACAGCAAGGAAGCAGTTGTCTTCCAGACCAATTTCACAGATCGCGTATTGTTGCCATTATTTTCCCTTGTGCGGGTTGGTCTGCTGCCTCTCAAGGCAGGAGCTCCGACGTTTCTGTTGTCCTCCAAACTCCTTGTGTCCTGGACGAGTGTGAAAGGAGTCTGAAAGTAGTTAACTGCAGATCGTTAGCACTGATTCCCTCTGTGGAGGCTCTAATTCTTCAGAAACTTTGGTGATGATTGCTTTTTCTTTTTTAAATAATGAACATATAATACTTTTGAAATTTTAAAACAAAGTTTGCAAGAGTTGCAAAAATACTTTGTTCTTTGTGTTTAAGAGATATTTCTCCTTTAATTTCTAATAATTTCTAATCTCTCTTGAGTTTCTAACACCTAGAACAATATCTGGTACTAGTAGGTGCTTGGTAATACTTGTTGAGTGAATGAATTATATTTTTTTCTATCACAGGTGTGCCAACTGCTTTGACTGTCCCGGATGCATGCACACGCTCTCCACCCGGGCAACCAGCATCTCCACACAGCTTCCAGATGACCCAGCCAAGACCACCATGAAGAAAGCCTATTACCTGGCCTGTGGGTTTTGTCGCTGGACATCTAGAGACGTGGGCATGGCAGACAAGTCTGTGGGTGAGTGACGAAGACCTCGACCTGAGATGTGAAATTAGCAGTGCTGTAATGGTCCATAGATGATTATTTGTTACCTCGTGGGTAGTAGGAGCTAAATTTAGAGTATATTGTCAGTAAATCTTTTCCATTCCCAAATTCTCATGTTTATGGATAATATTTCATCTAAGACTAGGTTAATTAGTTTTCTTAGAGTTGGTAAAATAGCTTTTATAAATCTGACATTTTCTCAATCTCAAAATATGGATGCTTTTTATAAAAAATAAACGCTCCTGCCCTGGCTGGTGTGGCTCAGTGGATTGAGCGTGGACCTGCGAACCAAAGGGTCTCCAGTTTGATTCCCAGTCAGGGCACATGCCTGGGTTGTAGGCCAGGTCCCCAGTGGGGGTCACATGAGAGACAACCATACATTGACGTTTTTTCTCCCTCTCTTCCTCCCTCCCTTCCCCTCTCTCTAAAAATAAATAAATAAAAATCTTTTTAAAAAATATTCCTGATGACAAAACCAGCCAGGGCTCATTTCTTGCACTTTAGAAAGTAGAAACACTCTTTATACAATCAGTTCAAAATCTTGAGTTGCCATGTAATTTTTATATAAATAGTATCATTGCTAACTCTCTGCTGTCTTCCTTCTTTCTGAATTCCATTTAATTTTCTGAAAACTTTTAGACATTAAAAATTCACCACTTATGAATTTTCATAAAAGATTTTTGTTTATTAAACTATGAGGAAGCTCATAACAAACTCGTTAGGTCATATGATAGAACTAAAATGAAGATGGATAATTCTTACACAATATGAAAGCAAATATGGATGATGTTTCTTTAGATGCAGCACTGTTCTTAAAAATTTAATCCTTGGAGGACTTCCGCCAAGATGGAGGTGCAGGTGGAAACACTTTGCATCCTCTCACAACCAAACCTAAAAACAACAAAGTTTTAACAACAATAAACACAATCAAACCACACAGTAAATCGACAATACGGAGTTCAAAAACAATGAAATGCTCAGCTAAACCAGTGAGGGGCAATGCAGCAGCAGAGTGGGTCGGGCACAAAAGATCCCCCGACCTGGGCGGTGCACAGGCAGCCCAGGGTGCAGATCCCAGGTGCGGGCTGCCTAGGGGCAGACCCAGGGAAGCATTTGCGCGCAGATAAACCAGTGAAGAGGTGAGCATTGAGACTGCACGGTGCAGGGCGGCGGGCTCGCACATTTCTGCTCAGATAAACAGGCGGGGGCGAGTGGTGGGACGGACTGGGCTAGTGGAGAGGACCACCATTGCTCCCTTTCTGACCCCGCCCCCACATACAGCATCACAAACCAGCGACCTGGGTGGCGCGACTTGGGTGGCCCGCCTTGGTGAACACCTAAGACGCCTCTCCTCATACATAACAGGCACAAACAGATAAAAACATGGCTCAAGAAGAACTCAGAGCCCCAGAGCCAATAAATCTAAGCAATGAAGAAATAGCCAAACTTTCAGATGCACAGTTCAAAACACCGGTGATCAGGATGCTCACAGAACTGGGTAATTTTAGTCACAAATTAGAGGAACATATGAAGGCTAAACTAATTGAAATGAATGGTAATGCACAGGAAACCAATAGTAATGGAAAGGAAACTGGGATTTAAATCAAGGGAGTAGACCAGAAGGAAGGAAAAAATGACCGAAGAGAAAAGAATGAAGAAACTAGAATTCAAAAAAATGAGGAGAGGCTTAGGAACCTCCAGGACATCTTTAAACGTTCCAACATTTGAATTATAGGGGTACCAGAAGGGGAAGAGGAACAGTCATAAGTGGAAATCTTATTTAAACAAATAATAAAAGAATTTCCCCATTCTGGCAAAGGAAATAGACTTCCAGGAAATCCAGGAAGCTCAGAGTCTCCCAAAGAAGTTGGACCCAAGAAGGAACACACCAAGGCACATCATAATTATATTAGCCAAGATTAAAATGAAGGAGAGAATCCTAGAAGCAGCAAGACATAAGGGGACAGTCACCTACAAAGGAGTTCCCATCAGACTGTCAGCAGATTTCTCAAAAGAGACCTTACAGGCAAGAAGGGGCTGGAAGGAAGTATTCCAAGTCATGAAATCCAAAGACGTACAACCAAGATTACTCTATTCAGCAAAGCTTTCATTTAGAATGGAAGGACAGATAAAGTGCTTCTCAGATAAGATCAAATTCAAGGAGTTCATCATCACCAAGCCCTTATTATATGAAATGTTAAAGGGACTTACCTAAGAAAAAGAAGATTAAAAAAGATGAACAGTGAAAGGACAGCAAACTCACAGTTATCAACAACCACACCTAAAACAAAAGCAAATTAAGAGGACAGCTAGATCAGGAGTGAACCATAGCAATGAAGATCACATGGAGGGTTAGCAACAGGGGAGTGGAAGGAGGAGAAGGGGGGAGAAGGTACAGAAAATAAGTAGCATAGACAGTAGATAGAAAATAGATGGGGGGAGGGTAAGAATAGTAGGGGAAGTACAGAATCTAAAGAACTTGAGACACGTGTTCATGAACTAAAGGGAGGGGAATGGTGGGGGAGGGGTGTGCAGGGTGGAGGGGAACGGAAGGGGGGAAATAGAACAAATGTAATGGCATAATCAATAAAATAAAAAATATATATTTAAAAAAATTTAATCCTTGGGCCCTGGCTGGTGTAGCTCAGTGGATTGAGCACGGGCCTGTGAAGCAAAGGGTCGCCAGTTCGATTCCCAGTCAGGGCACGTGCCTGGGTTGCAGGCCAGGTCCCCTGTAGGGGACACATGAGAGGCAACCACACAATGATGTTTCTCTCCCTCTCTTTCTCCTTCCCTTTCCCTCTCTCTAAAAATAAATAAATAAAATGTTAAAAAAAAAAATTTAATCCTTGGTCCTGGCTGGCGCGGCTCAGTGGATTGAGCGCCGGCCTGTGAACCAGAGGGTCGCAGGATCTGTTCCCAGTCTGAGTACACGCCTGGGTTGCACTCCAGGTCCCCTGCTGGGGGTGTTTGAGAGGCAACCACACATTGATGTTTCTGTCCCTCTCTTTCTCCTTCTCTTCTCCTCTTTCTAAAAATAAATTTTAAAAATATTTTAAAATTTTTAATCCTTAATTCTGTTTACTTTGCCTCTTGGCTCAGTTGTTCTTTTGACTTTGAACATTAAGTTGATAAAATATTCTTCAAAAACAAAAAAATGTTAACTAAACAAGCATATCTTAGTTCCTTAAAAATGCTGGTTGGTGGGTAGGTATTTCCTGACGTGATTTATTTTTAAATGACTTCATAGCAGCTCTTTAGATTTTGAGTAAATATTTGTACATATATGTTTTAATTTCAATGTAGCAAGTGAGTTGTTTGAATTTATGAATTTAAGTTAAACATTTTTAAAAAACCCTCAAAGTGGCAAGTATAGTATATGCCTCAGTGAGTTAAAGTGTATATTTCCATGTTTGTATTTGTCTCATTTTAGCAAATTAAAGAAACAAAACCCACAAATACAAACGGATTTCTCAGTTTGGTCCTCTGTAAGTGAATATTTATGCCTTTTCGATTTTGAGCCTTTAAGACTGGAGAATTTTTCAGAACTTAAAGTCTTAGTGCTTGCTTCTAGAAAATCTCTTTCTTCTAGGGGACTTGACAATGATATTTGAGTTGGAGCTCTTAAAAGAGCACAGATAATTTTATTTTTTCATGATGTGGTCTGCGTCTAGGAGCTTTAAATCCACTTCAGTGGGTTCCATTTGTTTTTAAGTGAGCCGTTGTGTCAGCAATGCGCAAGGGAAACTTACAGTGGTATCTTTACGTCTCCTTAATGACTTTTCAGAGTTAATCACCAGTTCTACAGAAGCAATTAGGTAGCACATTCAGATTTTTAAAGATACTACAACTAAAACATTTCTTCTGCATAATTATTTTTCCTGGTTGCCTTAAGTAGACAATCTTTAAAATATGAATAATGTACAGAAGGATGTTTTTGCTGCCATTTCTTACAAGTATATTGGCACCTGCAGCAAGAGTCCTTTTTGTTTTGAAAAAAGTTATTTTAACTTACACAGATAATCCACATTCATGTGTTTATCATCCAGCTTAAGAAAGTAAATACAACCAAACAGCTGAAAGCCTTTCTGTTGCCCCTACCGCATCCCCCCACCCCCCCGCCTCCTGGAGAGAGGTGGTCATCACTTCTCGGCGTCCACGTGTGCCTTTACGCTTCTCTACCTGTGTGTTTAGCCACCAGCGAGTAATGTTTTCCAGTGTGCGCCAAATGGAGACTTGCTGTATGTGTCCTGCTGCAGCCCCTCTCCATCAGTGTTGCGCTCATAGTAGTAGTTGGTTTTGTGCGTGACTTACCGCAGTTGACTTACTTAGACCCCCTTAGTGGACATTTAGGTGGCTGTCAGTTTTTCCCTTTCAACAACAGTGCCGTCAAAAATATTCCTGTCTGTGTCTCCTGAATCCCAGGAGTAAGGGTTCTCTGCGTAACTAAAATTGCTGTACACCTTCAGCTCTGTGAAGTTGTTGTGTACACCTTCAGCTCTGTGTACACCTTCAGCTCTGTGTACACCTTCAGCTCTGTGAAATTTAAGTTGCATACACCTTCAGCTCTGTGAAATTGTTTACCAGTTTTTCCCCCACAAGTAATGTGTGAGAACAGACTACCCCTTGCTTTAGGTCCTTGGAGGTCCTTAGTATTGTTTTTCCAGATGGTTGTGAAATGGTATCTCATTATAGTTTATTTTTTTCAGTTTTTTTGATTAGCTTTGTTGAGGTATCGCTCAGCAGTTTTAAGTGTAGGCTTCTGTGGTTTTTGACAGATACGTGTGCTTGCGTAGCCACTGCCACGGTCCTGTTGCAGACCAACCCCAGCACGCCAGAGTTCCCTCGGGCCCCTTTGTAGTCAGTCTCTTCCCTGACTCCCTGGATCCTGGCCCCTGATTCGCTGTCACTGTCATTTTGCCTGTTTTAGAAGTTTATATAATTGGAGTCTTCTAATACGTACTCTTTGGTGTCTAACTTTTTTCACTTAGTCTAATACTTTGGAGGTTCACACACGTTTTTGTTTTTTAGTGTTGAGTAGTATATCTGTTGTGTGGATGTATTGGGTTGGCCAGAAAGTCTCTATAGTACTCCATAAAATAAAAGTCACATTTTTCATTTTCAGATAACTCGATTGATTTGGATATTTTGAGTATGTTGGCTATCTCCTGCATGGTCTAACATTGATTGTTCTCAGTAAATGTCTGGATTTTATGACTCGCAACTTCAGCTGGTCTACTCAACCTTGGAGCAGTGTCCAGTGAGAAATCTCCAGCACGAAACTTCACAAACCACTTTGGACACATTCCATCAGTCACAGAACTTTCTCCATACCCTGCATGAATATGTTTTTGCTTTTTTAACCTTCTTGAAATAAGGAAGCGTGATATGCCAAAAATGTTGCATATTTTCTTCCATCTTCAATATTAAAATGTCTACACAACAATTCACCTATTTTGGTGACTTTTAATACACGCTGGTATGACAGCTGTTATAATACAATCTAACAAAACTTATTTTTTTGGATGAAGTTAAAAACAACTAAGTGCTATGAGAACCATCTTAGGGAAGAAAACGTACAAGCTTTTTAGCCAACCCAATACCACAGTTTCTCCAGTAATGGACATCTGGTTTTTTTCCAGTTTTGGTCTCATGAATATAACTGTTAGGAACCTTTGTCTACAAGTCTTAGTGTGGACATGTTTTCATTTTCCTTGCTCAGATACCCAGGAGTGGAATTGCTGGGTCATAGGGCGAGGGTATGTTCAACTACTAGAAAATGCCAACTGTTTTCTGGAGTGGCTGTCCCTTTTCGGACCCTCAGTGTGCAATGTAAGGAGAATTTCAGTTTGTCAGCGACCCTCAGTGTTGGGATGCTTTTTCACTCTGGCCATACCAGTGGGTGTGTAGTGCTTCACTTTACCATGGTTTTAATGTGCATTTTCTTAATGGGCTTATTTGCTATATATGGATATATATATGTGTATATATGTGTGTGAAATGTTTGTACAAGTTTTTTGCTAATTTTAAAGCTGAGGTTTAAAGCTGAGGTAAAGTCTGTGTCTTTTTATTGAGTTGTAACAGTTGTGTATTCTACATAAAAATCCTTTGTTCATTATATGTTTTGCAGATACTTTCTCTCAGTCTGTGACTTGCTGTTTTATTTTCTCAGCAGTGTCCTTCGAAGACTCTGCTAATTTTGATGAGGTCCAATTTATCAATTTTTTCTTTCACAGTTTGTGTCTTTTGTATCTTAGCGAAGAAACTTAGCTTGACACAAGGTCACTAAGATTTTCACTGGAGTTTTCATCTAGAAAGGTTACAGTTTTAGCTCTTAGTATAAAAGTCTGTTGTGCGTTTCAGGGTAAGATTTGTATGTTTAGTGAGGAAGGTTAGAGGTTCTTTTTTTTTTTTGTATAATGGTATCCAGTTGTTGCAGCAGCACCATTTGTTGAAAGTATTCATTACGGTTTTACTTCAGCTTTCTGGCGTAACCTTTTCCTTTATGATTTCTGCTGTTTGTTTCTCATGTAAGATTTTTTTTTTCCAAACCAGGGTCATAAAACAGAAATTGCACAGTGTTGCATATAAGAGCAGGGTCTCGGGCGTCAGTTCGAATCCTGGCTTTCCTACTTCCTAACAGTGTGGCTTTGGGCAAGTTATTTAACTCTCTGAGCCTCTGTTTTTTCATTTGTAAAAGAAGGCTAATATTTTGATGAAAGTCCCCCCTCGCAGGGTTGTTACGAGGATAAAATGAAGTGAAACTTGTTACTTGTGCTGGTGATCATTATCACCATTTAAAGAAAAAACTTTATTCCGAGCATTGTGGTCTATATAATTTTTAAACTCTTTCTTGGAAGTTCTGTGATTTTATGTTTTCAATTTTATATTGTGGCCTGCAGGTGACTTACTTTTGTGAAAACAAAATAATCAAATTATAAAGTTCTTATTTAATGCTCCTTTATTTTGCAGCTAGTGGTGGTTGGCAGGAGCCTGAAAACCCTCACACTCAGCGGGTGAGTAAAAGGTCATTAGCCAGGCCGTGAAATAAGAAAAGGTGGGGAAGACTGAGACCTTCTGTTTTATCAGTGGGTGTGGCCTGTGCTTAGAAGTCCTTGACGTTTATTTTGCTGCCTGTTACACATGGAAAGTGTTCCTCATTGTAGAGCATTAAATCACGATGGCAGTTTTTTCCATTAGGTTCATAGAGAAGCCTGGGTATAGTTTTAGTTCTGTGCTCAAGTTGTGAATTGGAAAAAAAGGAAATACGTTTTTGTTTTTCACATACCCACCAACTAAGTTGAGGATCCTTTTCTTCTCACATACTCTTGGAATTATCATCAACATACAGGCATCTAACTCCTGGAAACAGCTCTAGTTTAGAAGATGCCCTCTGACTCAGTAGTGGTTGTTTATAGAGTCATGACTAGCACGTCCCTTAACAGTTCACAGAGAACTGATTTCTGTGGAGTATGTTAGAGCTGACTTGTTTTGCCCCTGAAAGTAGAATGTGAATAAGATAATGAAATACTATTGAAATGAAGTATGTACAGTCAAATTGCATGTTAAACAATATAATTATCCACTTATGACATCAACAAAAATTACAAATACTGAAAATATACCGGATGATAGTGTGGGGAATTGTACCTTTTTACATATATTGTTGTTAGTGTAAATTAGTACCAATTTCTTGAGCTCTCAGCAGTACCTACTTCCTAGATTCAGACCTACAAAAATACTTACACTTAAGCACAAAAATATATATTAATTCATCACACATTTATCAAGCACTTACTGTGTGCCAGAGACTGTCCTGAGCAATAGGAATCCATGGTCCCTACCCTCGAGGGAAAACAAAATCAAATAATCCCCAGGTAAAGGAAGAACTAAGCATAAAGGAGAGAAGTTGTGCCATGTGGATAGTTATTGGGAGTAGTTATGTCCCCATCTAAGGGTGTCGCTAAGGTTCCAGGACGGCAGGCACAGAAGGGAAAGGCTTCAAGGCAGGGGGCAGCATACGCCAGGAGCTTATAAGTAGGAGAAGCAGAGCAAGGTGTAGACAAGGTGAGTGTGATGAGCGGAGCACAGCGTCGAGCGACTGGCGAGAAGTATTTGCTGTCTGGCCCTGTAGAACCATGTAGGCCAAGGTAAGGAGTCTGAGAATCCTTTAAAGGGTTTAAGCAAAGACCTGACAGGGTCAGATTAGTGTTTCCCAAACATAATTGCTACTGAATTGAGAGGACAGGAGTGGGTACCAGGAAACCATTAAGTCCTATCATAGGAAATGATTAAATATCTGCACTGTGTAATAAGATGTAGCTTTTAAAAAGAATGAGGTAGGTGATGGGATGTTTATAATACTTTCGGTGGAAAAGAATGTTACAACTTGTTTTCTTTTTTTAAAGATTTTTTATTTACTTTTAGAGAGAGGGGGAGGGAAGGAGAGAAACCTCGATGTGCAAGTGATTGGTTGCCTCCTGCACACTCCCAACTGGGGGCCTGGCCCACAGCCCAGGCGTGTCCCTGACTGGGAATCGAATGGGCGACCTTTCGGTGCACAGGCTGGTGCTCAGTCTACTGAGCCACACCAGCCAGGAAGTTTTTCTCTTACATGAAAAATAAAAAGACCTGTATTTATTTTTATGCATATAAAAGCTGTGTGTCCATGCATTTTTTTTTTAATGTTTGAAAAATATAATATCAGACCTTTACCTGTAAGTGTGCAAGAAAGATATCTACACTCTAATAGTGGGTACCTCTGGTGAGGACAGACTAGATTTGGGCACAAGAGATAAAAGAGAAGGTTCACTTATTTTTGTTTGTGGATTTTTTGAATTCTTCACAATTAACATATTTTATTATTAAAATATATTATGAAAATGAAAATGTATGAAGGGATGGGGGAGAAAATAGAGGGTGAAATAGCACATTCTTAGAAATAGATGGTCCTGTGGCCATCAGGAAAAAATAGCGTTTGCGAGGGGAAAGAAGTAATGAAGCAAAAGAGCAGTGAATAGAGAGCATGACGTTTCCAGGTCTTTTCACTGCCCAGGTCTTTCTGTTTCTGAGCTTGAAAGTTCTTTTCAATTCCAAAGTAGATCACATAATGAAGATAAATTCTCTTTGAAGAAAAGGGCAAACCTGCCACCTTAATTTGTCTTTTCTATTTATTATATGTCTAGTCAGTATAGTTGATTAATTTTTTATGCTTCCTGTTAGTTTTTTTCTGAAAGAAATACTGAGTCTTTGATCTGTTACAGATGAACAAACTGATTGAATATTACCAGCAGCTTGCTCAGAAAGAGAAGGTGGAGCGAGATCGCAAGAAACTGGCACGGCGTAGAAACTACATGCCTTTGGCTTTTTCGGTGAGGGCTTTTAGTGCAAAGAGGAGTTTGCCTTTCGTTGATCAGGACCTCTGCAGCATGAAAACAGGGACTGTTTCAGAAGGGGCCATTGTCCCCAGGTTCTGAAGGATGGGTAACAGAGAAAGGCTCCTCAAATTAGAGGGGTTTAAGTCCAGCAGTTACACGTTTACCATTTCAGTAGTTGTCTTTGAGTGTTGAGGACATTCGTGGTTATTTCTCTGTCATTCCCCTTTCTCTTCTGATCATCCTCCAAAGAGGCTGGACTTCAGTCTGTGAGCACCACCGAAACATGACAGTTTTTGCATATTAGAAACCCAGAAGTGGTTTTCCATCTCTGGTTACAGTTTTGGGGCACCTTCCCATTATTTCTTTAGTATAAAAAACACTGACTTTATACAGCATATTAGTGTGGTTAAATAAATAGTAATATATGCAAGCGTGGTTTTTAATAGGAAGTATTTATTGAAGTCATTCTTTACTAGTCTATATGCTACCGATCGGAAGCAAGAAATAGGGATTTGGAGCTTTTGTTGTTGCCCCCAAGTTCTGTTTGCTCCCACAGAACAGTTTGTTTTCTGTGTGTTTGCTTGGAGCCAAGTAGGTTGGCATTTTGTAAATACCATTTGTGAATGGTAGTAAGTGATGTGTCAGGCGCTGTGCTAAGCACTTAATTGTCACAACAGTCCTGTGGAATAGGTGGTATATCCCCATTTTACACTGGAGGAAACAAGATCCGTAAAGGTTAAATCATTTGTTTGACTGCTTTTGCATGAGGATTAGTTAGGCCACCAAAACCCTATGAATTGGTGAGGCCCATATAAAAATATCTAGAATATTTTAATCAATATTCTACAAAAGCACTTACAAAACACCTACAAAACTCACAAAGCACCTACATTTGCCAAAGAGTTTAATGAAGTTGTAATGAGTTTTTCTGTATAGTCCAATGGTACATACGGCATATGCCCCAGTATATTTAGGAAAGGGATATGAATTAAATGCATCATTCTTCCAACTTTCCCACATGACCTGCCTGCTGTATGAGTTTGCTTCTATCTTATGCTGCATTTTTTTGTCTCTGTTGCAACCTGCTGCTATTTTGGGGCCTACAGCAACACACTATTCATGTAGTGGTAAGTTCTCTTTTATGATTCTTGCTAACCCTGAAGAAGTTAGCAGATGATCACTGGTGTTCCAAGAAGACGTAGATCATGTGTCTTAGACACTCCACATAGTTCTTATCTGAACCATAGCTTAGATATGTTCAGATTAATAGTAAAAAAAATCACATTGTGTTCAGTTTTACTATATTCATGTAGTTTTAGTCTCCATATTTGGTGCTTTTATTATTTTAAGAATAAGATGGTGTTGGGCTACAAATTCCTCTCTTTAAAGGAAGCTTTCAAATTAGTTTCTTTTGGTTTTGTTTGTTTTTTGCTTATTTCCCTGAGCTTCTCATGCTGTCCCACCCGAAATTCTTTAGTTTTGATAAGTAGGATGTTTAAAGGTGGGATTTCTAATAGGAATTTATGAACTCTGTTTAGGACAAATACGGTCTCGGAACAAGGCTTCAGCGACCACGAGCTGGTGCGACCATCAGTACCCTTGCTGGACTTTCGTAAGTTTGGACGTTAAGTGTCTTTGAAGAAAACAAACAGGTATCAAAATGAATATTGAAAGAATGTGATTTTTACATAAATAAGGAGCAGTTGCCAATGGTGAAGAAGATCCTCATACCTAGAAAAGACCTAAGCAGAAAGAATAGTCTGTAATGGAGGAATACTTCAATTTGTGGTATCATAGACTTGAAAGGTAATCAGTGGCCCCTTGAAAATGCCTGCTTTTTCTCTTTTAGCCTTAAAGAAGGAGAGGACCAGAAAGAGGTAAAGATTGAGCCAGCTCAAGCTGTAGATGAAGTGGAGCCTCTACCTGAAGACTATTATACAAGACCAGTAAATTTAACAGAGGGTAATTTTACACATGATTGTACTTTGTTTATGTTTTATAACTAATTCTGCTTTTGTTACTTTTATTCCTTGTGATTTGAAATTTTTCCTAGCATAGAAAGTAGTAAAATAAATCATGTCGAAAATGAAATAGATTTGATAGAAGCAGTAATTTGAAGAACTTTCAAATGTCCAATTTGCATATGGTAGCTTTTTGAAGAACACTATTCACAAAAGCAATGTTGTTTTATGTAATTCCCCGTAAGTCTGATTTTGAGCAAGTTCCTAAACTGAGTCTGGTTTCTGCCTTTCATGCTAGTAACCACCCTTCAGCAGCGCCTCTTGCAGCCTGACTTCCAGCCGATCTGTGCTTCTCAGCTCTACCCTCGTCACAAACATCTTCTGATTAAACGGTCCCTGCGCTGCCGGGTAGGTCCTGCCTTCTGTAGAGTTGCTGTTGGTACCAGGGAAAGCACACATACAGTAAACAGGATTGGTAGCTGGCCAGTGTCAAAACCTCTGGAATGCAGTAAATAACAGAGAGTACGTGGGTGCCCCGGCAGTATTTTAAATGCTTTCAACATAAACCCAACCTTCACAACTCTGTGAGGTAGGTGCTATCGTTACCTCTGTTGTACAGGTGTGGAAACTGAGGTGTCTAGAAATTAGGCTCATAACACTAACCCCTAAAAGAATAGTGAAGAATATATAGCCATTAGTTTAGTAGAGAAGAAACAGAGGACTAGTAAAAGATAAAATAAGAAAGAAGAAAAATTAGTAAAATCCAGGCTCTGGGAATCTATAGAAGAAACAACAGAATTTCTTCAATAAATAAATAAAAAAAAGAAACCTTTTAGATCAGTCATATCTAATAGAATTTCTTGTGATAATGAAAGTGTTCTGTATCACTGTCTGTCATGGTTGCCAGTAGTCACATGTGGTTACTGAGCACTCAAGATGTGATAGTGCAACTGAGGAACTAAACCTTTCATCTTAATTCATTTAAATTCCCACATGTGACAAGTGGCTACTGTTAACAAATGACAGTGTGAGATTAGAAGAGACTTAAGATTGACACCTCAAACAGTGTATAGACTTTAACTCCTGATTCAAACAAAACGAAAAAAGAAGGGGGCCAGAGAAGAAGGAAGGAAGGGAAAGAAGGCAAAGAATGAGGAAGGAATGAAACATTTATGAAACCTTCGGGAAATTTAAATAGTGTCTATATTTTTTATGCTATTAAAAGAATTGTTTATTTTGGGGGGATAGTAATAATATTGTTACTTTAAAAATACTTTCATACTTTAGAGATACATATGAAAATATTTACAGATGAAATCACATAGTGTCATACTTGTTCAGAATAATCAAGCTTGGGGAGTGGATGATGCAGGTGAAACAAGACTGGCATTGTGACTAATAAACTGCTAATTGTTGAAGCGGGGTGATGGTGGCACTGAGGGATTTATGCTACTGTTCTGTATTTTTCCTTATATTAGAAAATTTCTATAATGGAAAACCATTTTTAAAAGAAAGGAAAAGCCTACTTTCAATATAAAGACACATACAGATTAAAAGTAAATGGATGCAGAAAAATAATACCATGCTAACACTGATCCAAAGAAAGCAAGAGTAGCCATGTTGATTTCAGGCAGATCATATTCCACAGTAAGGATGGATAGTTGTCATGGATAAAGAAGGGCATACATAATAGAAAACAGGTCAGTTCTCCAAGATAGTAACAGTTCTTAATTGTATATGCCGAACAATAGAGTGTCAAACCCTGTGAGGCAGAAACTGATAGAGCTACACAAGGAATTCGCTGTCATAGTTGGAGACTTCCACACCCCTCTCAGAAAGAGAATAGAAGTCAGAGAGTATCTGCTCTCAGATCAAAATGGGATTAAACTGAAAATCAGTAACAGAAAGATCACTGGAAAATCCCCAAACACATGGAGATTAAAGAATTTATTTCTAAATAACACATGGGTCAAAGAAGAAACCTTGAGACATTTTAAAATATTTTTAATTAAATGAGAATGAAAACACAACTTACCAAAATTTGTTGGACGCAACAAAAGCAGTGGTTATAGAGATTTATAGTACTGGATGCATATATTAGAAAAGTAGAGCCCTGCCTGGTGTGGCTCAGTGGATTGAGCACCGGCCTGCAAACCCAAGGGTCACTGGTTCGATTCCCAGGGCGTATGCCTGGGTTGCAGGCCAGTTCCCAGTAGGGGACACATGAGAGGCAACCACACATTGCTGTTTCTCTCCCTCTCTCCTTCCCTTCCCCTTTCTCTCCTTCCCTTCCCCTTTCTCTAAAAACAAATTAAATAAATAAGTAAATTTAAAAAGAAGAAAGATCTAAAATCAGAAATCTAAGCTTTTTCTTTAGGAAACTATGAAAAGAAGAGCAAATTAAATCCAAAGTAAGCAGAGGAAAAGAAATAAGAATCAGAGCAGGAATCAGTGAAATTGAAAATGAAATCATTAGAGAAAAGCAATGAAACCCAAAACTGGTTTTTTTTGAAAGACCAATGAAATTAAGAAGTCTCTAGCAAAGCTAACTAAGAAAAGCAGAGAGAGGACACAAATTACTAATATCAGAATTGAAAGCGGGGGGAACATCACCACAGTTCCATGGAAATGAGAAGGATACTAAAGACCGAACAACTCTATGCCCACAAATTTGATAACTTAGATGAAATGGACCAATTTCTTAAAAGGCACAGTCTGCCAAAATTCGCTCAAGAAATAGACTGTCTAATAGATCTATATCAGTTAGGAAATTGAGTTAATAACCTCAATAGACTGAAATAGACTGTCTAATAGATCTATATCAGTTAGGAAATTGAGTTAATAACCTCAATAGACTGAAATAGACTGTCTAATAGATCTATATCAGTTAGGAAATTGAGTTAATAACCTCAATAGACTGAAATAGACTGTCTAATAGATCTATATCAGTTAGGAAATTGAGTTAATAACCTCAATAGACTGAAATAGACTGTCTAATAGATCTATATCAGTTAGGAAATTGAGTTAATAACCTCAATAGACTGAAATAGACTGTCTAATAGATCTATATCCGTTAGGAAATGGAGTTAATAACCTCAATAGACTGAAATAGACTGTCTAATAGATCTATATCAGTTAGGAAATTGAGTTAATAACCTTCCAAAACAGAAAGCACCAGGGCAAGATGTGCTCGTTGGTGAATCTTGCTAAAGATTTAAGGAAGAAATTATGACGGTTCTCTGTAATCTCTTTGAGAAGATAGAGGCAAAGGGACCACTTCCTAACTCATACTTAATAGGTCAGCTTTACCCTAATACTAAAACCAGACAGATAAGTGACACAAAAATCTACTGGAAGTAAACAGGCTGGATGTCCTGCTGACCTATCAGCCTCACTTCCAGTAACCTGCCCTGAAGACTCACCTGTACAAGCACAAACCAAAATGTGCAGAGATTCGGGTTCCTCCATGCAGTGAGTGCTGCAAGTCTGTGAAAAAGAATACACTAACATGGGATGTATTTTTAAATGTAAAACACAGGTTGCACAGCAGCTACTCAACTTTGTATGAGAAAGGAGGGAAAATATATGTATAAACATAAAAAATAAGAAAACACACATGTTAGATTAAAACTATCCTATTAGAACTTAATAGAAAGCAGAAAGACGCATGCATGTGAGGAAACTTGATTTTACTAAATACGGCATTGCAGATCATGGGGGAGATAGCCTGTTAAGTTTTGCTAGGCCGCATGATTATATGAAGAAAAAAACAGACTTAGCTCTCTACCTCACACAATACACAAAAGTAAATTTCAGGAACATTGGAAACTTTATAAAGAGTAAATATGGAGAGCAAAACTTCTAGAAAGAAATATAAGAGAATATCGTCATGACTTTGGGGTAAGGAAATACTCTGTAAGTAAGACAAATAAGCACAGCTATAAAGGAAAAAGTTTTATATTTGACACATTAAAAGTCAAACTTGTACCCCCACTCCAGAGAAAAACGTAACAAATGAAAATATAGACCATATACTAAGGAAAGGCATTTGTAAGGTACATAATTAACAGAGGATTCGTATCCAGCATGTATAAAAAAACTTCAGTCCTGACCAGGTAGCCTGGTTGGTTGGAGCATCGTCCCGTACACCGGAAGGTTGCGGGTTCAGTCTCTGGTCGGGGCACGTACCTGAATTACAGGTTTGATCCCCAGTGGGAGGCAGCCAGTTGGAGTTTCCGACACTGATGTTTCTCTCTCTCCCCTTCCATCCCCCCACCTTCATCTCTAAAATCAGTAAACATATCCTTGAATGAAGATCAAAAAAATAAAGAACTTCAGCAAATCTGGAAGGAAGAGAGATCTTAGTATGGAAACCAGCAGTAGATTCTAACATACTAGTCATGGCAGAGGAACTCTCCAAATCCAATAAATAGGAAAAATGCTCAAACTTACACAGTAATGAGGGAAATGCACCTTAAAACTGCAGCGAGATACCATTTCATAAACTATCAGATTGGCAGAAGTTAGCAATTTGGCACTATCAAAATAACATGTACATACCCATTGATCCACTTTTAAGAAATTATTCCACCGATGCACTTGGACATGTGGAAAACGATTTGATGTATGAAAATACTTACTGCGGCATCCTTTGTAGTAGCAGAGCCATGGAAATACCCCTCAGTTTGGATCTGGTTCAGTAAGTTACAGAAGTCATTACAGTAGGGGACAGGCCCCACTGTGTATGCTGGTGTGGAAGTCCACAACAGACTAAATGAAAAAAACCAAAGGGCAGGAGAGTATATAAAATGCTGTCTTTTGTGTTGCTGTGAAAAAGAAAGTTGATGTGTGCATATAAATTCATGTGCATGGACTTTCTGGGAGAAAACTCATGAGAAACTAGTCAGCTCAGGAGAGGAACCAGGGGACAAGTAATGGGGACCTTTACACTGTACCTTTTTGTAGTGTTAAATGTTTTTATAAACTAGGTGCGCGTTGTACCCATTCAAGAAATTAGTAAATAATTGTTACTGTGTTTTAAAGCCCGGGTACGGGAATCACACTACTTGGATTTCAATCCCAGCTCCAGTTTTCACTGGCTCCAGGAAGCTGTACAGATTACCTACTCTTCCAGTGCCCCATTTTCACTACCTGGGGAATGGCGACGGTGATACACCTACCTCCTAAGTTGTGTGATATTTAAATTTACTTAGAGCAAGGATGGGTACCTTCTAGAGCAGTAGAAGAGGAAATAAGGACTTAAAAAACAATATAAAAGAAAACATGAAGAAAAAAACTAGCAAAATCTACATTGTTTAGCACACATAGTAAGTGATCAGTATGTGTTTTATTAAGTTTCGAAACACTGCAAAGGTATAACAGTATTTGATAGTGTGGTTGTTTGTATCTTAAAGTTGAAGACATCTTTTGTATATTTTGGTTATCTGTAGCATATACTATTTCAAAACATAGTTTTGCAGCAAAATAAAACAAAACTCTAGTAAATGGTATCCTTTTGAATTTAGTAGCTCCCTGGATTAGCATAGTATATTCTTGTTTTCCTCTGATACATATTATATATTTTTTTCTTTTTAGAAATGTGAACATAATTTGAGCAAGCCAGAATTTAATCCAACATCTATCAAATTTAAAATCCAGCTGGTTGCTGTGTGAGTATTTGGGGATTGGTGTCTTTGGTTACTGTTTTGGGGGTTCTTTTTTATTGTGAAATGTGCTTACTCTTCTTGGCTTAAAAAAGAAAAAAACTGCATCACAGTAGTCTTGCTGTTCTGTCCTAGTGCAGCCTTTGAATTGTACACCCTGAAGTTCAAGGCAGGTGTGTAGACAGACTGCAGGGTGTGTCTGCATCAGTGTCACGGGGTGGTGTGGTCTGGGGCCACAGGTGTGTTGGTTATGGGATGAAGAGTCACTTGTCACTCATTACAAATTATAAAGTACCAAAGTTTGGAAATCATCTTTTAAACACTAAAAAAAATTAATAAGCAGTATGTAACGAAGAGTATCCCTGTAACAGGGTTCATTTTATGTAACTGTTCTAATAACGCTTCACTGCATGGTATAAAAGTGATTAGGGTTAACGCACTGAGACTTGTCAGTAGAAAGGGAATTTTTGTGTATGAAAATCACCAGCCAAACAAGAAAAATATTTTGAAAAATTAGGAAAATACTGTCTTGACTTTAAGGTGAGAGAATCCATCCTAAGTAAGGCAGGAAGCTCAGAAGCCACAACAACAAAGTCCTGGGACAGTAGAACAGAAAAGAGCATTTGCCATTTCATTACAAGTAAAAGTCTAATACCTCAAAATGCAGAATCCCTATAAATCGGAAAGGATTTGAGTAGGTGGCTCACAGAAGAGGAATTCCAGGTGGACCAGTAAATGCTGTATGGAAAGATGCTGAGACTTGTTAGGAAAAGCTTGAAAAGATAAAGAGCATCTGGTGCTTGTAACAACAGGCAGATGTTTGCACACATTGACGAAAGGCTTGCGTCTCCTGGTCTTGTTGGGGGGCGGTCTGGAAGATCAAGACGAAGTGACATAGACTTTTTAATCCAGCAGTGCCATCCCAGAAATCTATTCTGGAGAAGCAAAAGCACCAGTGTGTAAAGCTACATTTATAAGGATGTATATTGCAGCATTTTACTGACAGAAGCTGGAAATGATTTCATTGACAAGCTGACCCACCATTAACAAAGAAATAGTTGACTGTCGAGATGACACTAGTACCACAGGATGTGACATAGCAGTTAAAGCGCCACCGGCAGTCGAAGGGCACAGTCGAAAGGCGAAGGAGTGCCAGTCTGCCGAGGTAGGAGGAGGGAACCAAAGGGGCCTAGCAGGGGCCCGTCACCTGCTCTGGCAGACTGACTTCCCTCATCTCAGATGGGAACACCAGTACGGCCTCGTGCTCAGGGTTGTGAGAGGAATCAACTGAGCTGCTGTGTTTGCAAACGCTTTATAACTATAAATCACCAGAAAGTATGTTCCGTGTTCCTACTATTTAATCCATGACTGGTTAGCAAGGAAGAAAACTGTGAAAATGGTCCATGTGAAGCCCTGGTGTGAATGCCTTAAGAATTATGCTCATGATAGAAACCCTGAATGGCGGGTTGTACCTAGCATTAATTTCTTGAGCTTGCTTTGAGGAAAAGTGCTTTTCTCTGACATCATGGCAGTATGGCCTGGGAATCTCAATACATATGCTCTGCCAAATCCAAATCCTTGATAATGGGGCCTTTGGATTTGTATGAAGTTATTCGGGTAATCCTGATGGCCAGCATGAAAGAATATCTAGTCCGAAGCTAAAATACCTTATTGCCTCTATTTTAAAGTTCACTTTCCCCTCCATCCCACTTTTAGTGTCTGCAGATTTTGTCTTATGTTAATATATGCACAAGTACTAGCATTTATGAGTACTTTGTTCTCAAGTACTTTTACATATATTATTTCATGTATTCTTCACAATAACCTCAAGATGTAGTACTATTAATGTCCTCATTTTAAAATTGAGAAAACCAAAACACAATAAGGTAAATATCTTGCCCTGGCCTTTACAAAGGAGTATCTTGGTATATAAACACTGAACTGGGGTTTGAACCTGGACAGCTTTGAGTCCAGAACAGACACATGTGAGTACAATTCATTGGTCTCATTTAGAAAGGCAGCACAGCACGACGGGTAAGGGCAAGGACCCTGGAGCCCGACTGCCCGGGTTTGAATCTTGGCCATTTACCAGCAGGTTATGTCTCCTTCTAAGCCTAGTTGCTTCATCTTTATAATGGGGGTAATAGTAATGCTTGTCTCGGGCAGTTGCAGTGAAGAGTACATGAGTTCGTATTTGTAAAGTGCTTCAAACATTGCCTGGCACATAGTAAGTACTATGTAAAAGTATGTGGTACGGTTTTTACACTCCTACAATGTGTGATTAAGTCATAATCTCAAAAACATTTATAATAGATACATAGGGAAGATATCGTCCATGATACTCATACATCTATAAGCTCTGAGCCAGAAGTGTACATAAGATTTCAGAAAGAACTCATTACCAGTTTAGTCAGTGTCTTAAGTTCTTACTGTAGTGGTGATACAGTTCTCTAAAATTCTTTTTATTTGATGTTTTAATTAACATGAAGAAATCTTTGCTGCACTAGCTAAAAAAAAAGTAATAATTTTATGAGACTCCATTGACCATTAATGCATTTTTTATTGATGCACAGCAATTATATCCCAGAAGTGAGAATTATGTCAATTCCCAACCTTCGCTACATGAAGGTTAGTACTTTGCTTTGTTAATAGGAAAAGAAAGAATTGACCGAAGATGTGTGTGGGTGGTTGTTTGTATTTGGCATGGGATGCAAACTGTAGAAAAGAAGAAAGTTTGGAGTAATAAAGGAATTGAGACTTTAAATTTCTTTAAGCTGGGAGTCTTGACAAGGACATCTGTGAGTGGGGTGCTGTGCACGTCCAGAGAGGGGGAGTCGTGGGTGGCGAGGAGAAAGAGGTTGAACCCCACAGGCCTCTGTAGCTCTTCTCCATCATCTCGTGTGCGCTGTAGCAGATACCAGGAATCACCCAAATTTCTTTACCACCGCCCCACTGTGCTTTGAGATCTTTATCTATTCCCCTTCCTCCCACCACTCTCCCCTGATGAATTGTAGAATATTCTGCAGCAGCCTCTTTAGTTCTTTCCTTCTGTAGTGCCCATGAAGACATTTATAAAGTCCCCGTTCATTTTAATGCTATTTTTTGCTGATCTCCAGAGTGTGCAAAACACGGGCAAACAAAAAATCTTAAAAGTCTTCTCTAGTCTTGATGTGCCATTTTTTCTTTGGTGTTAATCTAACAAGCCTGTGGCTCTTGTATTTTATTTTTGAGGGCTTCCTTCCATTTAGGCCTTAAGTGGAGGACTAGGTAGAGCAAGAGTTATAAACTTTAAATAATAACTTAGATATATACATTCCTTAGAATTTCTGGATCTAGTAACTGGCCCTTTCTATGGGATCTGTCTCATTTCCTCAGTGAAAGAGCAACTCTAGAGAGTATATGGCCTAACATATAAATAATAGACTCAGGAATGAGTGAGCACTTTGAGAAAGTGGTGATAGAAAGGTGTGGGTGGGTGTTCTTGCTCAGGAGTAATTGGGGAAGGTGGGTGAGGATTTTGTGCAATATTTGGTGTAGCAACTAAGAAAATGGACCGATGGCAGTAGTAGAACATGTCTGAGAGGTGCTTTTCCCGTTTCACAGGAGAGCCAGGTCCTCCTGACTCTTACAAATCCAGTGGAGAACCTCACCCACGTGACACTGCTGGAGTGCGACGAGGGGGACCCCGATAATATCAACAGCACTGCTAAGGTAAGAACACTGTGCCTTACCCTGCCTGACCCTGAGCAGCCTCATTTGACCTGGTTTAAAGGACTCCCCACTCTCATTCCCACATCCAAGCAGTCTCCAGTTCTAATTCTGCCTCCTAAGGTTTTACTTTATCTGCAAACAACTGCCACTACCCTAGTTGAAGCACTCCTTGTTTCTCACCTGGACAGTAGCTTCCTAACTGACCTCACTGTTCTGGGGCCACCCCTGCTTCCTTTCACATCGTTGGTCTTGCCACCAGGGTGGTCTTTCTAAAATCTAACTTTGACCATGACATGCTGATTATTTGGTATTCCTCTGACTTTGAGATGAAATTCAAATTCTTTGGCCTAGCAGATGAGCTCCGTAATGGACTCACCTCTGTTCTATCAGGTGCTCTTCCCCCAGGTCCGCAAATCTGGCATTCCCAGATCATGCATAGTAATGACTGTGCTCCAGGCAGGACCAGTGGATTGTGAGCTTTCACGCTGGAGAATTGCATGTGCTGTTTGTTTTATTAGAATGCCTCCCTCCTGTCCCCACTCCCCTGGCACACGTGCCCTCTCCTCTCCTTCAGTCTAATGCACATGCATTCTTCCAGACTCCCAGGAAATAACATCGCCTCTGTGAGCCGCTGTGGCTCCTCGAGGTGCCTTCGGCTTGCACAGCGGGTACATAGCACTGACTAAATATTAAAAGAGGTGATTTTGACTCTCAGTGTTAGTTTGAATGAAATGTGACCTTTCTTTATTTCACTATTTGGTGATTAATTTGGTATTCGAAATTTTAGATCAAAAACTTGTCTGTGTAGACTGTCTATTAACTGACTCATAATTCTGTGTGATATTCATTAATAAAAATTGGTAGAAAGGATACCTGTCTTTGATTCCTGTAATTCAAATAATATTAGTAAAAGATTTCTTTATCCCTTTTTTCTTTTTTCCTTGTGCTTTATTAATGAGGGCTTCCTTCCTTTTAGTCCTTAAGTGGAGGACTTATCATTTCACTTATTAGCATTACTTCCTGAGAGACAGAACACACATCTCTCCTTGGTCTTTTTTTTTAGATAACACCAAGCTGGTCTAATAATGATAAAGACAGAAGTAAGTGCCTGATGGAAATGCTCAGCTTGTGGATTTTCTATTTTCATTTCTCTTTCCACCTCCCCAGCCACATCTGCACCCATAATTAGAAATGAAGTTGGCCCTGTTATGTTACCTGTGACCTGGCGAAGTTGAAGCCTGATCAGCACACACGGACAGGCCTGAAGAGCGTCCAGGGCCACACACACACGTACCCAACACCCAGTGCTTCACCTCTTGCGTTTTTCTTTTCAGCTCTAAGCTCACCCTGTATACATCAGGGATGTCAAACTTACTCTCACTGGGGGCTATATCAGCCTCGTGGTTGCCTTCAAAGGGCCAAATGTAATGAATGTAAAAAATAATGAAGCATTTTAGATACACCACAGAGTCTGAATAATAAGGTAGCAAATGTCCGTGTCCGTCTAAGTGACAGAATGCTATCTGTGTCTTGAGTCTTGCTAATTACTTCTGAGTATCTGGATCAGTGTCATGCTGTCCATGTTCTGCTGAATGAACGCTCCACAGTGCACTGGTCTCTTCTGAGGAAGGCCTGTCTCTGCTGCTCTCCAGGTGGCGGTGCCCCCCAAAGAGCTTGTGCTGGCTGGCAAGGACGCTGCGGCTGAGTACGACGAGCTGGCTGAGCCCCAGGACTTCCAGGATGACCCTGAGTGAGTGAGCTGCTTGTGACCCACACACCACAGTTGGCTGGCGTAGGAGACCCACTTTCACATCCATTTTTTAATCTGGATGTTTAAAAATAAATTTTCTTCTTATAAAATAATCACTGTAGAAATTTGGGAAATATATATAAAACCATGAAGAAGAAACCCAGCTGCCAGGGATGAGCATCATTAACATTTTGGTCTTTGTCCTTTTGTAGATTCCTTTCGTCAGTATCATTCTGTAAGCACATGGTTTGAACATTCGTTTTTTTCACGTCAGTGCATTTTCCCATGTGAATAAAAAAATTCCAGGTGCATGATTTATAGTGGCTGGGCACAGAATACAGGTTGGGAACCGAATGCAGCACCCTACAGATTTGTCGTTGGGTTTGTCCACCTCTACCCTGGCTCTCCTACAGTAATTAATAGATTTTACTCTCTCATATGTAACAACTGAAGAGTAAAAAACCAAACCTTTCCCTAATGGGGAATGCATCAGTCTGCATCCAGTCTAAAGGCAGAAATCACATTAGCTGAGCAGGGAGGATTTAATATAAAGAATTGTTAACTGGGTATCTTCAAAGGTTAAAAAGAACTCTGAAGTATCCTAGAGATGGCAATTTTGTGAACCAGCTACCACCCCAGGGCTGAGGGAATAAAGGGAGACAGATTCTTAAAATTGAGCAGCTTGAAGGAAGAGCCCCATGGAGCTAAACTTCAGACCTGTGGGGAAGTAAGAGAGGGGATGGTGTTTGGCAGGCGTGCACGATAAAGCTGGTTATATGGGAGTCAGAAAACTGCAGCTGGTTGCTGCCACTTTCTGGGTGAAGGAGTGTAGCTGGAGGGATGTTCATGGGAGCCGCTTACAGACAGAAAGCCCACAGGGAGCCCTTGCTTCCTGCAGGTTCTGGGCTCCCGTTGGAGCCCCCTGACGGGAACCCTACAGGGAGCCAGCCTACAGAGCAGAAAGGTGCTGTGCACAGTCCTGGGCCACAAAGCAAGATGGAGAGTACATGTGGCAAACACAACGCCCACAGGCCGAATCCTGCCCTCCGCCTTGTTTTATGCTGCCCGTACCATGTTTCTGCCTGGTGGCAGTGTGGAGCTCCTTGGCCCTACTTAAGGAGTAGTTACATTTATACAGTCCTAAAATTACACTCGGCCCTTTGAAGGCAGCCACGAGGCTGATACAGCCCCCAGTGAAAGTGAGTTTGACACCCCTGATGTGGAGGGTGACCTTAGAGCTGAAAAAGCAATAGTTTAATATCCTGGCACAGGAATACTTAAGGCTTTATAACAGAATGATCAAAAGCTCCCTTAGCAAGATATTGGAAAGAAGCGAGAACATAGGGTGGGTTGGGAAAATAAAGTGAGGGCACAGGCGAGATTAGTACAGTGCTTACCAAATGGGTTAAGTTGAGAAAGCACCAGGGTGGGTGGGTGCTTTGGTTTTGTAGAGTCCCATGCTCCACCCAGAGATTCTCTTCAGTAGGCCTAGGGGAGGCACCAGAAATCTGATTTTTGTTTTTTTAATCCTCACCTGAAGACCTGCTTACTGATTTTAGAGAGGGGGGAAGGGAGGAAAGAGAGGAGGAGAGAAACATCAATCAGTTGCCTGTCATACACACCCCGACTGGGTAATGGACCTGCAACTTAGGCATGTGTCCTGACTGGGAATTGAACCTGTGGCATTTTGATTTACAGGATGACACTCCCACCAACTGAGCCATACCAGCCAGGGCTGACTTTTTCTTTTCCTTTTTTCTTCCTTCCTCCCTTCCTTCCTCCCTCCCTCCCTCCCTCCCTCCCTCCCAGATGGCAGTGGTTGCCTGGGAAACTAAGAATAGAAAGATAGACTGACTTTTTCCTTTCTACCATCTTTAACTGAATTTAAAAAAATGAATCTGATACAAACCAAAGGTTTAATTAGTTAACTATAAAACAAACTGCATTCTCTGTAATCTTTTGTTTTATGTGGGTCCTTAAATTACAGTAATTTGGTACATAAATTCGTTGAGCCAGGGTCAATGTCTTGAAAAATCATCCGAGGTACCAAATTCCAGTTAATTACATGACAGACTGGTAAACTTGAATTAATTCTATTTCACATTACTGTACTTCATAGGATTTTTACATATCTATAAATATTATGTAATACTCTTTAAAGATGTAAATGTGTAATTTCAGTAACTTTTCTAAGACTTTTATTTGCATGGTAGATTAAATTGTTTATTTCATTACTTTTTGAAGCTAAGTTATTAAAGTACAAACTTCAAGTGCAAGTCAGAGAAAAGTGAAATGGAAACCTCAACTAAAGAGATTTTTTCCCTATTCTAAAAATTCCTAATTTACAGAGGTTATTTACAAAAACACTGATTTATGGTGTTCCAGAAATCCCTCTGGCTCTGAGTTATGATCAGTCTGTTCTGTAGAAACATCTCCACATGGGCACAGAAGTGACCGTGAGAGGGTTGGTGCAGCACCGTGTGTTTGTAACAGAGAAAGCTGGCAACAGTCCCCAGGCACGCCAGTCACGGCAAACGTGGATCAGAGGACTGGGCAGCCGCCGAGTGGGATGGACGCAGTCTCTGTGTCCCATGTGGGAATGTGTCTGTGATGGGCGGTGGGAAGAAGCAAGTTGCAGAATATAGTATGTCTCGTGTATGTTGGTTAAAAACTCAGAAAAGGACTTCCGCCAAGATGGAGGCGTAGGTGGAAACACCTTGAGTCTGCGCATAGCCAAATCTAAAAACAATAAAGTTTTAACAACAATAAACGCAACCAAACCACACAGATAATCGACAATACGGAGTCCAAAAAAAATGAAATGCTCAGCTAAACCAGTAAGACGGCGAAGTCAGCAGCGGAGCGGGTCGGGCAAAAAAGATCCCCTACCGGGGTGGTGCGCAGGCAGCCAAAGGCGCGGATCACAGGTGCGGGATAGCTACAGGCGGACACAGGGAAGAGGCGCAGCTGGCTGTCTGCACTCGGTCGAGCATTTGTGCACAGATAAACCAGTGAAGAGACGAGCATTGAGACCGCACGGTGCAGGGCGGCGGGCTTGCACATTTCCATGCAGATAAACAGGCAGGGGCGAGCGGTGAGGTGGACTGGGAGAGCAGAGAGGACCGCCACTGCTTCCTCTCTGACCCTGCCCCCACATACAGCATCACAAATGAGCAACCTAGGTGGCCCCGCCCAGGTAAACAACTAAGGCTCCGCTCCTCATATGTAACAGGCACAATCAGATAAAAACATGGCTCAAGAAGAACTCAGAGCCCCAGAGCCAATAAATCTAAGCAATGAAGAAATAGCCAAACTTTCAGATGCACAGTTCAAAACACTGGCGATCAGGATGCTCACAGAACTGGTTGATTTAGTCACAAATTAGAGGAACATATGAAGGCTAAACTAATTGAAATGAATGGTAATGCACAGCATACCAATAGTAATGGAAAGGAAACTGGGACTCAAATCAAGGGAGCAGACCAGAAGGAAGGAAAAAAATGACCAAAGAGAGAATGAAGAAACAAGAATTCAAAAAAAATGAGGAGAGGCTTAGGAACCGCCAGGACATCTTTAAACGTTCCAACATTTGAATTACAGGGGTACCAGAAGGGGAAGAGGAACAGTCACGAGTGGAAACCTTATTGAACAAATAATAAAAGAGAATTTCCCCATTCTGGCAAAGGAAATAGACTTCCAGGAAATCCAGGAAGCTCAGAGTCTCCCAAAGAAGTTGGACCCAAGAAGGAACACACCAAGGCACATCATTACATTAGCCAAGATTCAAATGAAGGAGAGAATCCTAGAAGCAGCAAGAGATAAGGGGACTGTCACCTACAAAGGAGTTCCCATCAGACTGTCAGCAGATTTCTCAAAAGAGACCTTACAGGCAAGAAGGGGCTGGAAAGAAGTATTCCAAGTCATGAAAACCAAAGACCTACAACCAAGACTGCTCTATCCAGCAAACTCACAGTTTTCATTTAGAATGAAAGAACAGATAAAGTTTTTATTTAGAATGGAAGGACAGATAAAGTGCTTCTTGGATAAGACCAAATTCAAGGAGTTCATCATCACCAAGCCCTTATTATATGAAATGTTAAAGGGACTTACCTAAGAGAAAGAAGACAAAAAATATGAACAGTGAAAGGACAGCAAACTCACAGTTATCAACAACCACACCTAAAACAAAAGCAAATTAAGAGGACAGCTAGATCAGGAGTGAACCATAGCAATGAAGATCACGTGGAGGATTAGCAACAGGGGAGTGGGAGGAGGAGAAGGGGGGAGAAGGTACAGAAAATAAGTAGCATAGACAGTAGATAGAAAATAGATGGGGGGTTAAGAATAGGGGAAATACAGAATCTAAAGAACTTGAGACACGTAGTCGTGAACTAAAGGGGGGAGGGTGGGCAGGGGTGTGGAGGGGAACGGAGGGGGGGAAATAGAACAAATGTAATGGCATGGTCAATAAAAAATACAATAAAACATTTAAAAAATGCAGAAAAATGTAAACAAAATATCTGGTCGTCGAAGAACCAAAGTGTTTGCAGTTTTTCTCTTCTGGTGAAGGGAAAAATAAAGGGAAGACTATTACTTTTTCTCATGACTATATTTTACTTTTGTAACATTTAAAAAATAAGGGGATCAACATTTTGGTGAGGAAACTCTTCATTGCTGATAAATGGGAGGGTGGTTGTATCTCGTCATCAAAGGTTTCTTGTTGAGCCATAAAATGTGACTGTAAGCCTCGGTGGCTTGGCTGACTTGTGACCTAATGCTGTGCTTGTCTCCTTCCACAGCATTATCGCCTTCAGAAAGGCCAACAAAGTGGGTATTTTCATCAAAGTGACCCCACAACGTGAGGAGGGCGAAGTGACCGTGTGCTTTAAGATGAAGCATGATTTTAAAAACCTGGCAGCCCCCATCCGCCCCATGGAGGAAAGTGACCAGGCCACTGAAGTCATCTGGCTCACGCAGCACGTGGAACTCAGTTTGGGCCCACTTCTTCCTTAAGAGGTCTCACTGGTGGGCAGATTCCAAAGGACGGTATCACTACAAACCCGTGTAAAACGCAGAAGCTGCTGTTTCATTAGGCCTTGTGTATTACGATGTACCCATGCACTATCGAATCCTGTTCCCAGGAGGGAGGGGCCAGGCGCGGCCTTGGAACACGGGGGAACTGCTGTTCCTCTTGCTCTCACTCTGTTAGCACCAGTAAATCCTGTCTCCCTCACTGAGCCCTGCACGTTGACCAACGACAGCACAGTTCCATCCCGAGAATGGGGGTGGCGTTAGATTTACACTTGAGAAACTTGACATACTGTCTCCTGATCTGACCACACAGAGGATCATACTCGCAGAAGAAACCTAAAATGATTACTGAAAGGAAGACCTGCTGGTCACGATCTGACATTGGCCTCAGTGTACCACCTGCTTTCTGCGTTCCATTAGATCGAACCTAGCAGTCTAAACGCGTCCTTTTGCTCACCATCGTGGCTCCCATCATGCCAGAGACTTCCATTTGACAAAAATAGAACTGCCACATTGTCTTTAGTTTCGTGATGATTGGAAAACCCTGAGAAGTTTTAAGGCGTTCTCATTTGCCCTTTTCTGAGTGAATACTTTTTTTATTGGTTGCTCTTAAAATTTTTCCCCAACAGAATATGGAACTTTTTTTTTTTTAAGAATTTGAGAAGTGGGCATTTACATGTCATGTCAAGGGGGCAGCAAATTTCATTTATTTTTAAGTGTTGCCACAGTATCCAGGGATTAATCCTTCCACGGGGAGGCAGTCTTTGTATGTCTTACTCCCTCCCCTTCTCTGCTCTGCCTCTTAAACTCAATAGATTGTTCTGAGTATTCGGGACCTGGAAAGAGCCCAAAGAAAACTGGTGGACAAGTTCACTTCTGGAATGCAGAAAACACTTCAAAGGTTAGGTTGTTAGCATGATCTGAACTAATGTTCTTTCCATTGATTTGAAGGGGAGATGAACAGTTATCTCCTGAACCCAAACTGGATATGAGGACAGAGGACCTTCCCCTTCCTGAGTGTGGCTGTTACTATGTGTGTCAAATGAGACCGTGTCAATTGTAAACCGTAACGCAGCTCAGCGAGTAGCCCCGAACACTCGCTGACAGCACACGTCGCATCCTGGAGTTGGGTTGTTCACTTAAGTTTTGTGATGTTCTCTAAAAGGAGGCTTGACAGAGTGGACCACCAGCTGCACCACCACATTTTCTGTAAATGCCTGTCAGCAAGCTGGAGGCTGGTGAAAGGAGAAGTTTCCTGTTCACCCTGGTTTCGTTTTTAAGTTCAAACCTTGAGTTTAAAAAGAAACAATTAAGATATATAGTAATCTAGAAATATAGATAGGACATTGTATCTTGTCAGCTCCCCTGGAATATTTAGGAAGCCTTTGAAAGACACTAAGTGATATTCCTAAAGTCAAGCCAATTTTGTGAAATAATGTTCCACAGAGTAATATACATGCTACAGTGTTAATGTAAGGTTTAACCTCTTAAAACTTGAGGCAGAGGTTGTGTAATTACAAATTTGCAGACTCTAGAAACAGTTTAATTTGTTGTGAGCCCACAGAGTGTCAAGTTAGTTTTTATTTCACTACCTGGTAGAATCGACTGCAAGGCCACTGCTCCCATTTGCCAGTGGAGGAAAGGGCACCACTGTAGAGAAGAAGTTTCCACGTTCGCAGGGACCGCACGCACTCTCTGCAGCACACTCATGGCACCTAGCCGGTATTGGTTCCCAAAAGGACTACTGTTGAAGGAATGGGTTTTGTCATCCCCTGTGACACACAAACACAAAAACACTTTTGATCATAAAATTTGTTTCCTTCAGAAGCCAAATTAACTGGCAGAGTGACAGCCATTGGTTTAGTACATTCTCAAGATAGTTTTCAATGCAAGCTGGTGTTCTCTGTGTTAGTGGAAATGGTGCAGCACCTGCAGCTGGTAAATTTGAAGTTTATTTGTTGCTTTTGTGTATTAGATGAGGTGCAAGATTTGTAATGCATTGTCGTTGTGCACCAGTGCAGGCCAATTAGAGGTCATTAGCACTAGAGACTACAGTTTGGGAACCTAAGACGAAATTAATTTGGATTTGTGATTTGATTAGCCCACCAAAATTTTATTGAGTGTGCTTGTAGGCGTAATGAGCTAAATGTCATGCATATTTGTGAAGAAACCTCCTTTTTGGTTCCTTGTCGGAATAAGAGGCACTCCTTGATCTTTATGAATTACAAATTCCTGTTTTGCCTTACTGCTTAACTTAATGTAGTCAAATAAAGCAGACAAAGCTTGAACGTCTTTGTTTGGTTGCATGAAGACCGACTGCAATAGCATGGTCAGAGTAAGAAGACAGGTGGAGTCCCGAGAGCTAGTACTAGAACCAGTGGGCTTTGCTCCCTTCTTCCATTTCTTTAAATGAACTAAGCTAAAACCTTACATTAAGTGGGTTCACTGTAACATCATATGGGTAGATGTTACCTGAACCATTCTGTAAATGTTACGTTGTTAGGTCTCTACCAGCTTCTGTCTGGGTCATGGCTCCCAAAGATAAACTTTAAAATATACAAAGCGTCCCAGCTCCAACAAGTAGCCCACTCACCCCACCTCTGTACTCATAGGACTCTTCCTCCTTTAACAGAAGCGAACTGTTCACGCCCCTGCCTGATGCCCCACCACTTAGCAGTACCAAGAATGAGCAGGTGCTCTATCCCATCCTCGTACCTGTTCAAGGGCCTGTTCTCCCCTCCCTCTCCTGCACTCTTATGATTTCTCTGACCTTAAAAAAGAACTGGACCTCACATCCCTGTTCAGCCCCATTTCTCTACTCCCTCAACACAGAGCCCCCACCCCCCTCGGTTCCTCTCCTCCCAGTCTCACCAGACCCCATAGCCCCACCACGTCACCAGCAGTCCACACTGTTAAATACAGTCAGTTCTCAGCCCCTTATCTGCTCACACTCAGTCTGGCTGTTGGTCTCTCATCCTAAAGCATGAGCCCCATAGCGCAGGGATTGCCGTCTTTTTAAAAGATTGCTGCATCTGCAGAGCCTGGTACCTACACCTGGCAAATAGTGGGTACCCAATACTTGTTGGATAATACTGTCATCCTTCTCCTTACTTAATAGAGCTCTTGATCTTTTATCTGTTTTAATATACATATGCCTCTTTGTCATAAGCCAAATATCTTACTTGACTTGAGCTTTCTTGTTCTGGTGTTTTCTCAATAGAGAATACTCTTCCCTTCCTTTGCACCTTCGGAATTACTTTCCTGCCCCATCTCTCCCTTACTCCCACATAGGTGGGACCCTAACCCACAGCACCGTACCCCTCCAGAGCATTTGCCTCTTCCTTGGGTGATGGGTGTTGTGTGCGCACAGCACACCCCTTCAGGGCCAAATCCAGTCCCCTTTGTCATCGCTTTCTCATGAGTTCCATTCAGAGGGCAGCCGGGAGCAAACGCAGATGCCCAGAACTAAGTCACTGGCACAGTTGCAATATAGTAGTCTCCCCACCCCATAATTTTCAGTTTCCTGTGGTCAGCAATATTAAATGGAAAATTCCAGAAATAACTCATAAATGTTTAATCGTGTGCTATTCTGTGTAGTGTGATAAAATCTGCCATACTAGTCCGTCCCACCCACTGTGTGAATTATCCCTTTGTCCGGCCATCCATGCTGTTAAGTGCCTGCTAGTCACTTAGGAGCTGACTTACCAGATGGAGTGTTGTAGTTTCTCAGTGCCCGTGTTCACCTAGTTTTCACAGTGGCCCCACAGCACAAGGGGAGTGAACTGGCATTGGGATATGCCGAGGAAAAGCCATAAAGTGCTTCCTTGAAGCGAAGAGGTGTGCAGGTACAGGAGAGAACGATACAGACGGCGTTCTGTGCCATCCGCGGCTTCGGGCCTCCGCCGCAGTCTGGGAAGGTGCCCGCACAGACGGGGGCTGCCGTACTCCAGTCGTCCTCATTTCCCTATGGTCAGGGGCATCTGTGGTGAAGTATATTTCACCTCGGTGCTAGACAGCTGCACAAGATAATGACCTCAGGTGAGAAAGGTGTTTCCTTCTCATGTCCCCCGGCCCCCATTCCTCCCGTTAAATAAAGGAAAAAGCATCAATACTCATAATTATGTTTGTCACATCTAATACTCATTCTCTTTTTAACACAGACCTCTGGCTGAGCCTTTGGCAAACAATAGTAGCTACTTACTGAAAACATGTTTCATTTTCCTTGTACTTGTTTTTAAGGCTACATCTAAACCTAACACTAATTCTCTATTAACAGAAGTGATTAAAGTTTCCTTTAAAATAAGAGTGACTGCTGCCTATGATGTAGAAACCTGGAAAGAGTGTCACCCCCCACTCCTAAAAAAAACCTGAAGGTAGATAGATGACAAAAATCATAAATTTTAGCGGGGCCATCAGAGCAGAGTAGTGGCAGAGCAGTCAAATATGCTGAATTGCTGAATTTCGAGGGACAGACCGACCCCTCTGGAAGAGAGGTCAGACCCGCAGGCTGGCTCACCTGTGTGTAGCAGAGCACGGGAGGAGGAAGCGGCGGCTGCCACATGAGCAGGTAAGAGGAAATCAACTTAAAATTAGTGAGGAAATGTTCAAGGCCAACTTTGGGCTAACATGGCAGGATAGAACTCCTGAGAGCTTCCGACACTGAAGCCTGCATGCACTCATGATGTCCACCAGGTGTCCACAAGAAGGACCTGTGGGGACAGGGAGCGGTGCCCCAGAGCCACAGAGCCTTCTTGGGTTCCGAGGCATGTGTGAGGGATCTGCCACCACGTCGGGGAAGGCACGAAACCTTGCCTCTCGCTGCCCAAGCCCTTCTCTCATAAGGAGTAAACAGGCCTAAGCCACTGGGGGAGGAGCAAAAGCTGGTTTCTCATTGCTGCTGGAGCAAGCTAAGAAAAAAATCTCAACCTGAGCCCCAGGATTCCATACCAATTCCATTAAAAATCTACCACTACAGGAAAGGCAGCAAACTCCTGCACAAGACCCGCTGCCCCTACAAGCCAGGGTTTGGCTGCCACAGAGAGGAGAAGCAGCAATACTGAGAAAAGACCAGTTCCCAAAACCTGGCCTAGAGGAACCTGTAAAGGATTGAGGCTGAATTAGAACAACAGCAACAGCAAAAAACCAACTCTGACCCCTCCCCTACCACTCACCTACCACGCTGCCAGGAACAAACCAGCTGCTGGGGGTGAGGGAGGGCAGAGACTGGCTGCCATGGTGCAGATGTACCAGACAGTTGGAAGGTAAGGATGAAATACGAACAGGTGAGAAAAAAGTTCTTCAGTTCCAACCTGAAGCAAAAAATAAGGCTGGAGGGTGAAAGCTGTGGGACATTAAAGGCAACCATAGCAACAACAAAACCCAAACCCAGCTCAATTCCTGACTAGATGGACCAAACCCCACACAAATAGCCTGACAAAAGAAGACACTTGTCCATTTCCAAGCATCACTACTATTTATCCAGTCACTGCTGTTATATAAGCACTGACTGGCAATCAAGAAAAAAAAAAGATACACAAAGAAAAACCAACCTGTTTTTCATCAACAATGAAACCATATACAGGTATGATTCAGATGTAGGAACTATCAAACAGGGACTTAAACTCTGACTAACATGTCGAAGGATCTAGTTAAAAGTGTGGGTAATGTGTGAGCAGAGTTCAGCAAAGATGTAGAAACTATGTAGGACAAATTGAAATAAAAAATAAGATCAGCCCTGGCTGGTGTAGCTCAGTGGATTGAGCACAGGCCTGCGAATCAAAGGATCATGGTTCGATTCCCATTCAGGGCACATGCCTGGGTTGCAGGCCAGTTCCCAGCAGGGGTACACGAAAGGCAACCATACATTGATTGATATTTCTCTCCCTCTCTCCTTCCCTTCCCCTCTTAATTAAAAAAAAATTTTAAAAACAAGATCAGAGATAAAGAATATCTTCTAGATATTGTAGACTTGTCATAGCTGAAGAATAATTAGGGAACTTGGAGATGGGTCAATAGATATTCACACTGAACTCTCCCTACCAAGACTGAAACAACAACCAAGTGTTCAAGACCTGTGGGACAATACCGAAGGGTCTAACGTGTATAACCGGAGCTCTAGATGGAGAAGAAACTGGGCAGAATGTTTGAACAGTTGACATCTAACAATTTTCAAAATATAATGAAAGACAAACCACAGATCCAAGAAGCTCAGATAAACCCAAGCACTTTCTCATACAGAAAAATACGTATTTACCACATGATCAAAGAATCCCACCCCTAGGTCTTTACAAACAAAAACCTGCATCCATACAACAACCCGTATATGAATGTTTATAATGGTTTTACTTACATTCATGGAAATCTGGAACAACTCCAATGTCTATCAACTGGCAAACGGATTTTTTTAACCCCCTGGTACATCCGTTCAATGGAATTCTTGGCAGTAAAAAGGAACACATTACTGATACGTGTAACAGTACAGTGAATCTCAAATACAATATTCTAAGGAAAAGAAGACCCCAAAAGCTATATAGGATTTCACTTAGGACATTCTGGAAAAGGCAAAACTATAGGGACAGAAGCCACACCAGTCGTTGGCCTCTAACAGTGTGTGTGGGGACAAGTGCATTGACTTGGGCACAAGGGGACTTCTTGGCATGGAAGTAGTCTACCTTTGTGGTGAATGTATGTAAAATTTCCTAACTATACAATGAGAAGCTACACTGTACATATTTAAATAAACCTCATTTTTTAAAATTAGGGGACAAATGTTTTAGGTAGTTTGATCAGATATATCAAGAATTATAAAGTTCGTACCAGAATGCTTGAAATTCATAAAATATTGGCAAAGTGGGTATAACTTGCTCCCAAAACGATATAGCTAAGCCTGTGTCGATCCTTAAGACACTTCATTTCAGAAGTTGAAAAAATAGTACTATTGATAGATCTGATCAGACCACTGGAGAGAAGTAGGGAGGGGCCTCAGGAGGAGTTTGCCGAGGCAATGGTAAATGGTCTAGGACAGGATTGGCTGAGAAACTGACGCCTCCAGACAGCATCTGGCTCGTGGGCTCATCTTCCTCGCAGATGCCTGGATGATGTGCAGCAGCTGCCTGCGTTTTCAACCGACAGACCGTATTTTGGAGGGTAAGGAACCCCCGGCACAGCCTAGGATGGGGCTGGCCTGGCAGAGGGCGGCAGGTTTATTGTTTGGGTGTTCTAGAGGGGACCAGCTCTGAGGCAGAAGCCTGCCATTCTTCCAAAATTATGTTAACATTTGTACCTCATGTTGTTTTAGTTTGTAAACTAACCCTATAGAAATAGTGTAACTAAAAACAGGAGAATGTTAGAACCCACGGTGTTAAGAGTTTAGCCTTAATTGATAGGTTTAAGTGAATAAAGCGGTAATAAAGAGTTAAAGAGATTAGCATTAACTGATAGGTTGATGGGCTTAAGTGACTAATGCAAGTGGAAACCTATTATTCCAAACTCACGAAGCTTTATTTAAAAAAGGATTCCTTTCCTTATCACCAAACTTTGCCTATGGAATTTTGCCTGCAGGGTGGCGGTGGGCAGCAGGACCCCAATCGCTGTTCGGTAACAATTTTAGTATAAATGCCTGGCACATATTTATAACTACAACATGGTTCGTTAGGTGAAATTCAGATTTTAACTAGGCGTTCTGTTTTTTGCTTGCTAACTCAGGCAGCCCTGCAAGTTACTGTGAGATCTAAAAAAGATACTGGCACAGCGAGACGTCCGCCCAGCGTTTGACAAAGTGAGCGCTCAGTTGGAGCTAACCCTGCTTTAATCCCACCCCCTCAATCATTACTTGTTCCTTTATTCTTTCACTCATTTTTAAATAAACCAGATGTCCTTATGGCTCTTCATCCCAACCAGGAACCAACTCAAGAGAAGCACGGAAACTTCACACACTACCATTCCAAACGTAAAGCGGAGACGTCCCGAGTGCGTGCCTTCCGGGCGCGCAGGCCCCGCCCCAGGGCCGCGCCAGGCGCGCAAATACGACGTAACAGGCCGGGAACCGGCCCCGGGCCTGACGGGATTGTGGCGGTCCGCTCCCCACTCGGAAGCTTCCGCTGCCCGCGGACGCTCTCAAGATGGCGACTTCTCTGGGTTCCAACACTTACAACAGGCAGAACTGGGAGGATGCGGTGAGTGTGCCCGCCGGAGCGGGACGGAGAGGGGCGCCGAGGCCGGGCCTCCTGCGGGCGGGCACGGCCGTGGCTGCAGTGAGGCCGAGGGGTTCCCGGGGAGGAGCCAGCGCCGCGGCCTAGCTCGGCCGGAGCTGGAGGCTGGAGGGAGGGGGCTTAGCCAGGGTCCGAGACCAGCCGCCTTTCCGTGGTGTCCCCCTCCGCTCTTTTTGTGCTGGTCTTTTCTCCCGCCGGAAGAGCAGGGCGCCCCCTCTCCCGCGACCGGGCCCGTGCTGGACCGTGGTTCCTGCCCTGTTCCCCACCTCTCTCCTCGCACTCATACCCCCCCACTCCCGTTACCCACAAGAGTGGGGTTGAGATCGCAGGGTCCTCGGAGCCTGGCTCTCAACCAGATTTCCCAACTTCACCAGGATTTCCCCATTCTGTGCCAGACGTGTCTTGGAGAAAACCCATATATCCGAATGGTGAGTGACCGTGTGTGAAGCGGAAATTATTCATATTGTCAGCGTGGTGGTACTTGCACACTTAGCCAGCTAGAAGTAACGGTGCTTCTTTACTGGCCCAAAGCCTATGGCCATTAGCAAAGGACTGTCGTGTTTATTCTGTCACTTTGGAACTCAGCAACAGTCCTGTGATGTAGGAGCTGTAATAATAGCTTGGATTTGTTGAGCATTTACCTGGGAGATCGATGAACTAGAAACTTGAGCTTATGTCTTTTCATATACCAAGTAGTGATTGGAGCTGGGATTTAAATTTGGATTGTTTCACTCCAGGGACCTTAGCAAGTTAGAAGGAGAACCGGGACTATGACTAGGTTTCCTGACTCTTAATCAAATGGCTTTTGGCCGCTGCACCTTGTCTGTCTCTTTAATGTAAGGTGGCTGTGGCCCCTATTGTTATAAATAAGGGTAAAATTAGTAACCATTAACAATCAGTAATTAGGTCAGGACTGTACTTCGATCTGTCTCAGGTGTTGGTATATTGATACTTTCAAAATGTTAAACAGCTTATGGGAAAGGGGCATTTACTGTGGGGAGGAAGGGTATCAGCGCAACCTGTAGTAGTTACCTCGTGACTGACCTTTGTAAAGTGGGCTGGCCACAGCAGCGTCCTCTCTGATTGGGGGACTGTGGAAACCTAGGAATTTCAGGTCTTGGGAGAGAACTGGGGAGACAGTAGTGAACCCAGGACTTGTGGCTCACAACTCCTGTGGAAAGGTACGTGCTCACCTGATGTTAGGTCCCTGAGATTCTTAGGAGATTATAACTCATAGTGGGTGATTTGAATATATACTGTGCGCCACCCCAAAACGTGTTTCCCCTACCCCCCATTTAAAATGCCAGGGACACATTTCCTGGGTTGTATTTGGGGAAGAAGCAGACATCGGGTCTTTTTTTTTCTTGGAACTTTAGTTCTTTTCTGTTTCTTTTCTGTTTCAGACCAAAGAAAAGTATGGGAAAGAATGCAAAGTAAGTATGTCTGTTAAAGAGTAATGATTTCATTTTCTTTTCCTTTTTTTTTTTTTCAACTTGTGGGCTTTGCGGTCCTCCAGTAAAAGTCAGTGCGACACAGTTTTCATGTATCGTTTATATACTCATTGACTATTTCGTGTGTGAGGTTAAGAAAACGAGCCCTTTGACCAGCTAACATGGAGGCGTAGGTGGAAACACTGTACCTCCTCACACAACCAGAACAGACAGAAAGTTGAACTGTACGGAAGTCCGACAACCATTCAACCAGACTGGTAAGAGGGGCGGAGTCAACGGCTGGTGGAGAGGGGTTGCTGCAGGAAAGGTGGACCTGGGAGTGCAGACTGCGTGGGGCTGACTGCGGTCATACATTCATACGCAGATAAACTAGGCAGAAATGGGCATCAACACAGACTGTGCAACCCAGGGCCCCAGTGCCAGAAAATAAAGCCTAAAGGCACCAATTGAAAAGGTGCCAGGAGAAACTCCCGGCTCCACAAGAGAGTTCATTGGAGAGACCCACAGGGTCCTAGAACGTACACTAGCCCACCCACCCAGGAACCAGCACCAGAAGGGCCCAATTTGCTTGTGAGAAGTTGCAGATGGGACTGAAATCCAAGAGAGAGCAGAACAAGCACCATTGTTCCCTCTCTGACCCTGAGCCCACATACAGCATCATAAGCCAGCCACTGGGGTGCCCCGCCCTGGTGAACATCTAAGGCTCCACCCCTCATACACAACAGGTGCAACCTGACCAAAACTGGCTCAAACAGAACAAATCAAAGCTCCAGAGCCAATACTTTTAAGCGACCAAGAGATAGCCAACCTATCAGATGCATAGTTCAAAACACTGGTGATCAGGATGCTTACAGAACTGGTTGATTCTGGTCGCAAATTAGATGAAAAAATGAAGGCTACACTAAGTGAAATGAAGGAAAATGCACAGAGAACCAGTAGTGATGGAAAGAAAACTGGGACTCAAATCAATGGAGTGGACCAGAAGGAAGAAAAAAACAACCAAACAGAAAAGGGAATGAAGAAACGAGAATTCAAAAAAAATGAAGAGAGGCTTAGGAACTCAGGTTGAATAAATAATAGAGAACTTCCCCAATCTGGCAAAGGAAATAGACTTCCTGGAAGCTCAGAGAGTCCCAAAGAAGGTAGACCCAAGGAGGAACACACCAAGGCACATCATAAATTATATTACCCAAGATTAAAATGAAAGAACCCTAGAAGCAGCAAGAGATAAGGGGACAGTCACCTACAGAGAGTTCCCATCAGACTGCAGATTTGTCCAAAGAGAACTTACAGGCAAGAAGGGGCTGGAAAGAAGTATTCCAGGTCATGAAAGGCAAGGATGTACATCCAAGATTGCTCCATCCAGCAAAGCTTTCATTGAGAATGGAAGGACAGATAAAGTGCTTCTCAGATAAGGTCAAATTCAAGGAGTTCATCATTACCAAGCCCTTATTACATGAAATGTTAAAGGGGCTTATCTAAGAAAAAGAAGATAAAAAAGATGAACGGTGGGAGGACAGGAAACTCACAGTTATTAACAACCACACCCAAAACAAAAGCAAACTAAGCAGATAGCTAAAACAGGAGCGGAGCCACAGAAATGGAGATCACATGGAGGGTTAGCAACGGGAGTGGGAGGAGGAGAAGGTGGGAGAAGGTACAGAGAATAAGTAGCGCAGGCTGTGGGGAGAAAATAGGGAGGGCAAGAGTAGTGTGGGAAATGTAGAAGCTAAAGAACTTCTGACACATGGACATGAACTAAAGGCGGGGAACATGGGTGGGAAAGGATATGCAGGGTAGAGGGGAGTAAAGGGGGGGAAATGGAACTACTGTAATGGCATAATCAATAAAATATATTATTTTTTAAAAAAATAAAATGAATGAGCCCTTGAATCTTAACCTAGTGTCGATGGGTGGGCTTTGAACACCCTGAGGTTGTACAACAAGTGTTGATCAGCTATACACATGAGAATTGTAACTAAGGAGGAAGCTCAGTGCTGATGTAAGATTCTCAAAGGAGCATATGACACTCTCCATCCCCCCCGAAAAGATTACAGGTCAGATTGTTAATGGTGGTTACCTCTGGGGTGGAGAGGACTTTGACTTTTGAGTATTTCATTTCTGTACTATGTGAATTTTTTATTTCTGTGGCAGGGTGTTGTAGATATGATGGAAATATCTGGTTACATTTAGACTAAATGATTGTGAAGGTCTCTCGTAAACAAGCCCTGGATTTGGAGATCCTTCCTTTGCATTCGCCCCTTGCTGTAGAGTTTCCTGGATTGATTGTCCAGGTCAGGACCGTTCACCCCTTGTGGCTTATTTTGTGTTAAAGATCTGTGCCAGGCCGTTCACAGTGTTTCGCTGGTGCCCCGGGGTTCGCATGCGTTTCAAGAAGACCGAAGTGTGCCAGACCTGCAGTAAACTGAAGAATGTCTGTCAGACCTGCCTTTTGGATCTGGAGTATGGTATGTTTGCTGTGTCTAGTAGACCTGAACGTGTGTTGGTGCCCCAGACGGCCCACCAGTCCTTCTGTCTCCCATGTCTGCCCTACCTCAGTTTTGACCCCCCTTTGGAATGTCTGCTGTGCTCTGCTTTTCCTGGTAAGGGAACCATATTGGGATATCCTAGAGTCCTCCTGAACCACAGCAGGAACTTAAGGAAAAGCTGGGAATTAATTAGAACCGGCCTAAGACTCCCTTCCATACACATCCCTGTAGCAGAGGCAAGAACAGGCATCGTCCTGTTGTAGGTAATTTCCTCGTCTTGGACTTCTTTCTAGGTCCAGAACTTTTTTCCAGAGTCCCTACCAGAAGCTCATAGGCTAATAATGCTTTATGTTTTGTCTCAACAGTATTGTTAGGACTGATACACTGCTACCAGCTCAGAGTAACTGCTCTTTTTTTTTAACTGAAGGTGACTTGTTCATGAGAAAATGGTTTTTCAACAAGAGTTTGGACTATACAATAAAGGAGGAAAGTAGGAGTTTGTGAATGTTAAATTCAGAGTGACTCTGCTTCTCAGAGTCCTGGTCACGTATTATGTGTTTGTTAAGGAGGTGTTCTGGTTCTAGCATATAATGACCCAACTTGACCATAACTGTCCAGAGGACCTATAGGACCAGCCTAAAAACCACTTTTCATGATTAAGTGGTGTTGTAATAAAAGTTGGATATGTTATTAATTTGTAGGTCAAGTGTGACTGTTCCTAAAGTCTGTTCATCTAAAAGATTTTCTAAAACATTTGTTTCAAAATCAGGACAGCTCAGAAATTAGAACAGTTCTTAGAATGCTTTATAGCAGTATTTGTCTGGTGGTGCTAAAGATTTTGAGTAAAAATATAGTAAAGCCTTTGGTACCAGATAAGAAAGTGGAGAAGGAATGATACTGTATTCTGTAAGTATATTTAGTAGTAATTAAAAATATGCCTGAGTGTTTTTTCCCTCCTTCCCTCGTGCCAGGCCTGCCCATCCAGGTTCGTGACGCAGGGCTGTCTTTCAAGGATGACATGCCGAAGTCCGATGTCAACAAAGAGTACTACACACAGAACATGGAGAGGGAGGTACACAGCCGCTTCCTCGATATGGTCTTATATTGGATAAGAGAACCCTAGTGGGCTGACACAGTTTGCATAATTTATCTTGTGGATTTGCCACCCCTGCGTAGATTTCTAACTCTGATGGGACACGGCCAGTTGGCATGCTGGGCAAAGCCGCATCCACCAGTGACATGCTGCTCAAACTGGCCCGGACCACACCCTACTATAAGAGGAACCGGCCCCACATTTGCTCCTTCTGGGTGAAGGGGGAGTGTAAGAGAGGAGAGGAGTGTCCATACAGGTAGGAGCCACAGTGCGTGTTCAGCATTTGCTTTCAGATGGTTTGTCAGCTAAGAAGTAGGAGGTGGTAGCTTAAACTATTTCTGCTTTAAAATCTAAAAGTTTATACAGCTACTGTGGTAATACAACTAATGTAGAATAGCTCATGTCTTAAGGCTGTTAAGTCTAGAAAGGCTTGATGAAACTGTTGTGTTTACTATAACGGAACTGTTACTTACGACTGAGCCTCGGGAAGCTAAGCTGCTGTGCTGTGTGACACAGATGTTGACCCTGAGAGTTTCTACCTGACACATACGTCTTCACTGTCTTGGTATCACTGTCTCGAATCACAGCGTATAGCTGAGGTCAGTTAATGTCAGGCGCCCGAGGGGGTGTGTGTGTTTCAGATGGACCGCCGGACATCTGGATTAGGGGCTCGTAACTTGGGTTGGTTACTCCTGGCCCTGCCAAAAAAAAAATCCCTTCCATTTTCTGGGGCTTTGCTAGGGCTGGGTTATAGCTTTAATCAGACTCTCAGTGGAATACAAGACCCCAAATACTTGAAGAACCAGTAGCCTAGAGAGGGGTAACACTGTTTTGGTTGCCCTTTACTTTGGGGTGCCAGTGTTTCTGTCTAAGGAAACTCTGCCATCCTAGTGGCCATCGAAATTGCTTTTAGGAGGCTATCAAGTCCTTGGGCTGCTGTAAATTACTTGGTATTAGCTATTTTGCAAATTATGTTTTGGTACAACCAAGGTTATAGTTTAGAAGCATTTTAGGCTATGTATTTGGGATTTAACGTAGCTGCTGTTGGGTGATAGCTATAAATTTCTTCCTTTGTTTCACCTCTGTGCACTGTTCTTGAACCGTAGACATGAGAAGCCTACAGATCCGGATGACCCCCTTGCCGATCAGAACATTAAAGACCGGTATTATGGAATCAACGACCCTGTGGCAGATAAGCTTTTAAAGCGTGCCTCTACAATGCCTCGTCTGGACCCACCAGAGGACAAGACTATCACCACGCTCTATGTTGGTGGTCTGGGCGACACCATTACTGAGACAGATCTAAGGTCTGTGGGTAGAATTTTATGAGCTCTTTTTGTATTTAACTGCCCTGGAATAATTTTGGGGGGAAAAAAGCAGGCAAGCAAGATAGTTCTTTACAAAGTACATTTTTTCTTTAACCAGTCCACAGTCAGGAAATACCATGCTGACTAGAAGTTTTATAAAACTGTTGTCGATGATGCCAAAGTAGAATGTTCATCAATAGTGCTTATTTCATACTTGCTTGCATACAGTGGTAATTACATGAGATTCTCTTTGACCTAATAGCCGATTAGAGTTTTTAGAATAGGGTACACATGCAAGTAGACTTCATTAGGTGAGGGAGGGAGAGCTTTGCAGTTACAACACTTACATGGTTTGAATTGTTGGCTTTTTTAAGAGATTGGCATTTGGTAAGTTTGTATGCTTCTTGACTTGTATTTTGGTCAGCTAGATGAGACAGCTGGGCAGAGAGTGGGAGTACGTTCCCCTTCCAAAGAGATTAAGTGGAGAAGAGGCTCCTCTAAGTTTATGACCAGCCCTTGGCAGCCTGCCTCCACTAAACTCTGACTGAGTGAGTCAGACAACCCCCAGAGGGTGGCAGACTTCTTCTCTTCTCCACTTTCTTACTCCCTTTAAAATTTTTTTAAACATTCTTGGTACCTGGGCCATAGGGGCCGTATTTGGCCAGCCCTTTATCTGGGATTTAGGGTCCTTAAATATCTTACTGGAGCCCCCTTTTCTCCATGAAAAAAAACCCCTGAGATGCTCTCACCTGTATTTGCTCATTATTTCACTTTCCCTGTCAATACGTAGCTCCCTCAGTAAGGTATTGGGGGTCACTGGCATGTAGTCGGGCAGATAACCACGGGCCGTGTTCCTTGTGCGACCTGTGAGCCTCCTGGGAAGGGCTGAGTGTAAACGCTCGGTCCTCTCCGCCTGCGTCCCTCCAGAAACCACTTCTACCAGTTCGGAGAGATCCGCACGATCACCGTGGTGCAGAGACAGCAGTGTGCGTTCATCCAGTTCGCCACGAGACAGGCCGCGGAGGTGGCTGCGGAGAAGTCCTTCAACAAGTTGATCGTCAACGGCCGCAGACTCAACGTGAAGTGGGGGAGGTGAGAATGGACCGTTTTTAAAACATCTTCGAGATTTTCAAGAAAACTGTTCACTACCTGGGGCTATAAGCCTTTGGCGAATGGACTGAAAAGAATTTTTAATTCTCCAACATTCATTCCTGTGGCCGTCGTGATCATCCTGAGTTTGGGAATTTATTCAGGGGTTCGGCGTGGTAATGCTCTTTTGAGGGCTCTGTTTTTGTGACCGGCCCTTTTGGCCAAGTATTGTGCTGGGGCCTGAAAGGTGGCTTTGGGAGTTTACACGGTGAATTAATTAGACCCAGGTTCTGTCCTCTGCAGGCTGAGTGTCCAGTGGGGAAAGATAGCTAATTAATAGCTAATCTGAAAGTGCTGCAATGCCCCGAAGTTCAAAGGAACAATGTGTCTCCAACTTGGGAGCAGGGAGGAGACTGCTGCTGGCAGCAGGGCCCCGCGTGGCGTGCTCCCCGCGTGGCGTGCTCCCCGCGTGGCGTGCTCCCCGCGTGGCGTGCTCCCTGCGTGGCATGCTCCCTGGGAGCCGGTTAGCTTCTGTGCCGGGCACATGGAGGCGGCCTCTTCTCCTTACAGCAGTTCTTACAGATTTTGAACCCAGGTCTTTCTGGCTTCAGAAACTTTGCTCTTATTTACTCTGCACTGGGGCGATTAAGGAGAAAGTGCGGAAGAGGAGGCAAGGAGTGAAGGAACTCCATGTAACTGAGAAGTAGAGGTGCGAGAAAAGGGACAGAGTGCTGATGTCCTGTGTCTCTGTCCCAGGTCCCAAGCAGCCAGAGGAAAAGAGAAAGAGAAGGACGGAACCACGGAGTCCGGGATCAAGCTGGAGCCCGTTCCAGGCCTGCCGGGGGGTGAGTGCGTCTGCCTGTGTAGCGGCGGCACCAGGTGGCCAGACCGCGATGACATTCCTCAGGTGTTGGACCCAGGTCTCTGGCTCCAGGGAGGAACTTCAGATTTAAAGGTGGCGGAGCCCTGGCTGCTGTGGCTCAGTTGGCTGGGCATCGTTCCGTGCAAAGCGAAGGGTCACCAGTTCAATTCCTGGTCAGGGCACCTGCCTGGGTTGCGGCAGGTTCCTGGTTGGGGGTGTGTGAGAGGCGACCACACGTTGATGTTTCTCTTCCTCCCTGCCCCTCTCTCTAAAAATAAATAAAATCTTTTTTATAAAGATTTTATTTAAAAGATTTTATTTATTTTTAGAGAGAGGGGAAGGAAAGGAGAAAGAAAGAGAAGGAGAGAAACATCAACGTGTGGTTGCCTCTCATGCACCCAAACTGGGGACCCAGCCTGCAACCCAGGCACATGCCCTGACTGGGAATCGAACCAGCAATCCTTTGGTTCTCAGGCCAGTGCTCAGTCCACTGACCTACACCAGCCAGGGCTAAATAAAATCTTTTAAAAACAAATCTGTGAGAAAAACTTTATAGAAGTAAAAAAAATCTTTAAAAACCAGAAAAAGGCTAGAACAGCAGTGCACAGTGGTCTTCCCCTTTAACTGTTGGTGGTTTTCTCTTCTCCAGCTCTTCCTCCTCCTCCCGCAGCAGAAGAAGAAGCCTCTGCCAACTACTTCAACCTGCCCCCCAGCGGCCCTCCCGCTGTGGTGAACATTGCCCTGCCCCCGCCCCCTGGCATTGCTCCGCCGCCACCTCCAGGTAACTTCAGCCTGCCACTCTGAGTAGCTCAGTCTGACTTAGCCCAGGATGTCCTTGGGAAAGTTTTGTCTCTACACCTGTCAGGTCTAACAGTCTGAGCCCTGTGTGTTTGCCCCATAGAATTCCTCAGGTAAATCTGACCTGACACTCCCGTTTCTTCCTGTCCTGCTAAGGAGGGGAAGGTTGCCAGTTTCCTAGAGATCTGAGTACGTACGTGTAACTCAGAACGGGACCTACTGGGTTACGGAGACCCATCACCAGTCTGTTCCTGTTCTCACACAATCCTGATGCCCTGGAGCACTGTTGCTTAAGGTGTGGGCTGTGAACCTTTGCCATTTCACAAAGTGTTACTGCCTGTTTGCAACAAGATAAGCAGCTTGTGCCAGAATGTAAATTGATTAAGAAAGTCTTGTTACAAAAGATTACCGATGCACTGAACAGTGCACTTGATGGTGTGATTAGTTCTATTTGACTCATGGTCTTAACCTTGTTGGTGGCCAGTAAGAAACAGTTCAGGGACCAGCAGGCACTTTGTATAGTGCTGTCTGGAAACTGTCAGTGACGGTGCCCGCAGTGTCTGTGAGTCCCGGGAGCCAGCGCTCCTGTGGCAGCGTTCCCGTGCTCCTTGAAGGAAGTCCTGGTGTCCGGACATCCTCTGTTCTGGTGTAAGTCATTACGGTTAAGGAAGACAGCGCTGTCCATCATCTGAGTCCATCACATCCGGGTCTGCCTGATCTCCCCTCACCTCCCCAGTCCTGACTGAGTCCCGCTTTGATACGACTGGGTAGTGTGACAGCCAGCAGGGGCTCAGGCGACCTACCGGCACATACCTTGAGTCCTGTGGAGTTTTCTTTTAATCTGGACTGAGAGAAGTGGTTTCTCCAACTAAGGAAGAAATGCAGGGAGACATTCCTAAAGAAGTCTTATAAACTGATAGTTTTTGAAGCCCCTGTCATTTGGTTTATGTGAGTGGTGTTGACCTTCGAAAGATTCAGAGGTTTGAAAGGTGTCAGGAAAACCGCAAGCCTAATACATTTGTTCTCCCCTACCTACAGGTTTTGGGCCGCACATGTTCCACCCAATGGGACCACCTCCTCCTTTCATGAGGGCTCCGGGACCAATCCACTACCCTTCTCAGGACCCTCAGAGAATGGGAGCTCACGCGGGGAAGCACAGCAGCCCCTAGCAGACTGTCACCAGGCCGGGGCTCTGCGGAAGACAGGGCGCTTCAGGGTCCCAGGAAACGGATCTTGGAGTAAACGTATTTTTCCTTCCTTTGTAGTTTCCGTGGTAGCTAAATGTGTTCAGATGTGGGCAGTCGAAGAACGACAGCCGTGATTGGATTGCTGGACCTCAATAAGCTGCCATTAACACATCTGGCTACTACTATCACTTACTAATAAAACTGAATGCCTTTTCCCCTTACCTCAATGGGGAACAAGCAGTGGGGTGAATTGGAACGTCCCAACGGAGTTACCCTCCCAACTATATGTTCATTTTCTATTTTTGGGGGGAAAAGAAAATTGACCTGCGGTAAAAACCTTTTGACCATTTTTATGTCCCTTGGGTATTTTCCTTTCCATCGTCTGAAAAAAGATGACCAGTACTAATCATTGTAGTGGCTCGAGTGTGATTTGACACCTCCGCAGTCGCACCCGAGAAAGACACATGGAAACCTGCAGCCCGCGCCTCCGGTCGCTCCCCTGCCCACTCGTGGAAGGGGTCTGGCTGACACTTCACTTCTCCGTGCTACCGAAAAGGACAAAAACAGAAATTCTTTTTCTTCCTGTTGACTGGGTGGAAACAAATGTCACGAAGTTGTGCATCATTGAAGAAACCTGGTGTCTGGGGTGAGATTGTTTTGAAGAACTGTACGGCACTTGAACAGACTGTGAAGCAGAAAGCGCCGGCGTGCGTGTGAGGGGAAGATGGTGACGCCGGCAGGGCTTTGGCCTTCTGCTCTCGCCGCGTGTCTCGTTTTGATTCCCCGCCTCTGGGCAGGGCACTCGGTTTGGTCTTAGAGTGCTCGGGTGTAACTGAGTTGTAAATGGTAAAATTTGATGTTGTGGGGGGGGGTTGTTTTTAAAAAATTAAAATGGGTCAATTTTCCAAATGTCATAGACTTATTTCTAGATTTCTGTTTTCTTTATTCTTTGGTAGCTGAACTTGAGGTCAGTGGAAGTTAGAAACAAGTTATTTTTGCCTTGGACTTGATTTCTATCTCTGTTCACTTTGATAATAAAAGGGCCCACAGCCTGCCATGTGCTGGCTGATAAATGGTAGCTTTGAAAAGTCATTTTAAAAGGAAATATGTGAAATTTATCTATGAAGCCAGTTCCATGTCATTTGTATCTAAAATCTATGCATATGGGATGGACACACCCCATGTAACGAACACCCTTTTGTAGCTTCATGGAGAACTCTGTTTTCCTCTAGAGGACTTCATCTTCCCCCTTTTTTTTTTTTTTAAAGATTTAAGAATCTAGCAACAAATTTGATTTTATTTCCGTAATAGAGGGTAATTCTAATATTTTGGCACCATGTTGGGTAGGGTTTTGGGGGTGGTTTTTTGTCTACTTTTGAGGATGTAAAAGATTTTTAGTCCATTTGTGAGTAAGATGTGAAGCAGTAATGTTTGAACAATTGCCAAATTTGAATACACACACCCACGCAAAGGTGTGACTACCCAATTCCATATTCTTGCCTTTTTGAGAAGGAAGAGATTCTAAATTTTGACACTGTCTTAGTTGTTGAGAAGCATAAGCCAGTATACAGTGACGTGTAGAATAGATGCGCAGTCCTTCTTGAGGACATCAGAACTGGGAGCAGTGAGGTCATCTGTTTTACACAAACATGGAGCTGCTCGTCAGACTGTTCTCTTCTCTTCTAGGGCAAAGGGCTGGGGGTACCTTTGTCGTTCCCAGACCTGGTCTGTGAAAACACCTCACCCAGCCCTGTGAGCTTTGCCCCCATCCAGCTACGTGAGCAGAACGGTCTTGCAAGATGATGATCACACAACCGGAGGACCCTAGGCTCCTCTGTCACTGCTGTGGCAGGGCTTTTGATAGGAGGGCTTTCGTCATAGTAAGCCTTTGAGACCTGGGGGTGGTTCTGGTAGTCAACTCTGATCACGTGGAAAAAAATAAAACTTGTTTATACTGAGTAATGATTTAAACCCTCGGGAGCTAGATTACCTGAGTTCGAATCCTCACTTCAGCACCTCCTAGCTGTGTGACCTTGGGCATGTCACTTAACCTCTTTCTGGTCCATGATGCCTCACCTCCTAACCCTCCTCACTCCCCTACCTGCAGTATTTTGAGCTGCTCCCCGGTGGAGAAGGCTCAGAGGGAACAGCAGCATAACAACTAAAGGACGGCGGTGCCTGCCTGTGGGGCAAAGAGTAGGATGTGACAGATTTGTGGAAGTCACGTTCCAGTGAGACACTGGAACCCAAAATAAATGGAGGTAGAAGTGTAAAGTGACCCCTGCACCCGGATCTCTGGCTTCGTCACTTGGTCAGGGGGTGTCTTTCAGGTTTCTTTGTAAAGGCGCTACTTCCCTCCTCTGCTCTGTTCTCCCATCTAGAATCCGTGGGCGGGGCGCCATGCTCCCCTCCTGAAGGAGTGCAGGGAGATCCGTTTTCCCCGTTGAGTCACTTATTATGCCACTACGGATTCGTGGATATATACTTTATCCTTTGCGTTATAATCTCTTCTGTGAGTTGCCTTTTCACTCTCTTGACAGTGTCCTTTGATGCATAAAAGTTTGTGATTTTTTTTTAAATGTCTCATAGGTGGTTGGAAATAATGAGTATTCTCTAATTTGGTGGTGCAGGATTCTAAATTTTCATTTTATTCAAATTTCCCGTACCCTTACTCATTATTTGTTTGATAACTGATCAATAATTGAAAAAACTTAAATTTTTCACTATGATTACGGGTTTATCATTATGTAAGTATCCTTATCCAGTAATGCTTTTTGTCCAAAAGTCTACTTTGTCTATTAATGACTAGAACACATTTTCTTTAAAAAAAAATTTTTTTTTGCCCTGGCTCAATCCAGCTCAGTGGATTGAGCACAGGCCTGTGAAGCAAAGGGTTGCCAGTTCGATTCCCAATCAGGGCACATGCCTGGGTTGCAGGCCAGGTCCCCAGTGGAGGACACATGAGAGGCGGCCACACATTGATGTTTCTCTCCCATTCTTTCTCCTTCCCTTCCCCTCTCTCTAAAAATAAATAAATATATTTTAAAATAATAAAAAATTATTTTTCAATTATAGTTGATGTATATTAGTTTCAGGTATAAAACATAGTGGTTAGACATTTAGAGTATCTGAAGTCTTTACTAGACTTACTCACCCTGGTAAGTCTAGTACCCATCCAGCACCATTACATAGTTACTACAATATTAGTTTTTAAAGATTTTATTTTCAGAGAAAGAGGAAGGGATGGAAAAAGAGAAGGAAAGATGTGTGAGATTGATTGGTTGCCTCTTACACACCCCCAATTGGGGACCTGACCCACAACCCAGCCATGTGCCCTGACTGGGAATTGAACGTGTGATCTTCCAGTTCACAGTCTGGCACTCAATCCACTGAGCCACACCAGCCAGGGTATTAGAATATTATGGTCTATATTTGTGCTGTATTTCATGTCCACACAAATATTTCTATAACTGGCGATTTGTACTTCTAAATTCCTTTCACCCCTTTTGCCCATCCCTCCAACCCCCCTCCCATCTAGTGACCAATAGTTTTTTCTCTGTGTGACTTTGTTTCTGTTTTGTTTGTTCATTTATTTTTTTTTAAGATGCCACACGTAAGTGAAATCATATGGTTTTTGTCTTTCTCCATGTGACTTATTTCACTTAGCAAAATACCTTTTAGGTCGGTCTACCCATATTGTCACGAATGGCAAGATTTCATTCTTTTTAATGACCAAATAATATTCTACTATATATATGTACCACCTCTTTGATAATTTGTCTATTGATGGACACTTAGGTTGCTTCCATATCTTGACTATTATAAATAATGCCGCAGTGAACATAGGTACATATATCTTTTTGAATTAGTGTTTTCAATTTTTGTAGGTATATACCCAGAAGTGGAATTGCTGGGTCATATAGTTCTATTTTTGATTTTTTAAGGAACCGCCATACTGTTTTCCATGGCATTTGTACCAATTTATAACCCCACCAACAATGCCAGAGAGTAGAGCACATTTCTTCGGGATGGTATTTGCCTGGTTCGTCCTTTCTCACTTCTTTATTTTGCTTCTGTGTTGTCTTTGCAGGAAGGCTGCTTCCGGACAACACGGAGCTGGAGTCGCCTGTGACCGCATCTGCACATCTGTCTTTAACCTGGTGAGTCCTGTCCTGTGTTTATTGTGATGACTGATGCAGTTGAATGGGTTTATACCACTTCGTTTTATGTGCCTTTGCTTCTTTTTCATCTTTTCTGCTGTCCGTGAAATGGATTTCTCTGCTCATCATTGCTTCTAAGATTCTGTACTTTCTTTCTGGAGCTTTCCCAGAATATGTTCTTTTGTAGTTCTTGCAGGGGTGAGTGGGAAACTCTTAATACTTATTTGTCTGTAAATTATTTTGCTCCCACTGCTTAAAGATATATATTTTTCATTATTGCTGTTATTCTAAGGGTTGTTCCTTTGTAGGTAATCTAACTTTTTTATCTGGGTGTCTTGGACACTTCTCTGTGACTTTGGAGCTCCGGGGTTTTAGTACAGCGTTTCTGAAGGATTTAATTTGTCCTCATAACAGGGTGAAGATTATATGAATTTCTGTCTTTCACCACATCTGGAAAACCTCCAATCATTTTTAAACTCCTTCTGGAACCGCTATTAGTGGTGTTGGGCATTTCTATTTTATTGTCCATGTCCTTTAACTTCTCTCATATTTTCCATTTCTTTACTTCTCTGTGATGCTTTGTGGACACTCTCAGTCCACAAATTCTTTAGGTATATCTAATGTCATTTTTAGTTCACTAATTCTCTCTTCACATACATCCAATCTGCTATTAATCTATTAACTTTTTTTAAAAGGAAGCCTTGTCTTGGTAAAATATCACATAATGTACAGAAAGTGTACAAAACACAAATCACAGCTATATTAGATATTTCCAAGTGAATGTCTGTGTAACAATTACCCAGGTCCAGGAAGAGAAAGCCCCCAGTCTTCCCAGGAGCGTCCCTGCCCCTCACGACCACACGCCTTTCTTTCCACCCAGGTACCACCGTCCGACCTCGTGAAGGTCGTCCTCGCATCAGCAAGTGCAGACACCGGACCTGCCCGCCTCTGCCCCACTGTGCTCCCGACACGCCTCTGCGTTGTGCCCGTGACTGCGGTTCACGCACGGTCGTGGCTGCCGTGTCTGAGGTTTCCGGTGTCCGGCTGTTCTCGGTCCCTTTCCTTTCCTCGTCACTATATGATTTCATGTACATAAAGAGCCAAACAGGCAAAAGCAGAGAATTTCATATGAAGAGTCATTGGGACCCCGAATTACATGAAAGGTGAATGACCCGCTTTTGCAGGATCCAAAATTTACATTCTGTTGAATAAATCAGCAAAATACAGACTATATCCAGTACGATCCCATGAAAACATATCTTTGTACTTATGCAACTGTACACATACCCATATTTATTCAAATAACCCTAGCATTCTAGAAGGACCGAGCTGTTGCCAGTGGTCCCCTCTGGTGTGGGTGGGGCAGGGTGCGGGAAGGCCAGTGTCACAGGGGAGGGGCGATGTGGGCAGATGCCTTCACATTTTACTTCTTCCTTTGCTTGCTTATTTATCTATTTTCCAATAAGAATTCTTTTTTTTTCTTAAAAGAGTGTCAGTGAGAGTCATACTGTCTGAAGAAGGAAGGAATGAGACTTTGCTTTGGGCTCTGGCAGACGCCCCCCCCCCCCATTGCCAGGCTCTCCTCTGCTATGCTGTGGTGGCTGCCATCACCCTCCGGGTACAGCAGAGCTGACGCGAGCCTGTCCTAATCCTCTCTTGTATGTTTCAGACTCTTTCACGGCTGATTTTCAGTTCATGGAAACATGACTTTAAACGACAATGCCCAAATTCAGATGACACGCTGATGGCAAGCAATTATGAGTCAGGCCGTTGGCCCCTGGGACTGCGTGGGGCACAGGGAACATCCAGAGAAAAAGTGAAATGTGCCCCGGGGACCAGACAGATTCCTGACCTCATCTCCTCAAGGGAGGGGTCAGGGAAGAGGCAGCAAGAGGTGAGGTGGACAAGTAGTTCCCAGGCAAAGGGGCCCTGCAGTGATCAGGGGCTTCCCTTCCGGCCTCAGCTTCACTGACCTCCAGTCGCGCCCTAGCAGCCTGCTTCAGGCTGCATCCACTGCCAGAGCCTCTTTGCCAGCTAAGAGCAGTAGCTGCAGGAGTGTACTAATAATCCAGTGCTTACTATGCAGGTGTCCGTCGCTGCGCTCACAACAACCCCGTATGGGGGGGCCTGTCCTTGTCCTGTCCTTGTCCTCATCTTACAGATGACAGAGGCCCACAGGTGAGAAGTGGCTGGCAGTGGCAGGAGAGCCATCCCACCCGGTCCGACGCCCTGGGCCACAGTCTTAACCTCTGTACTCTAAGGCAGGTACCGTTATGAGGTGACACCAGAGTGAGTGGACACTGCTTGGCCACCCTATGCAGTAAAAAGTGATAGCCACTGGAATGGGACAGTTACCCTTTGGGTCTGGCCCTGGACAAGCCCCTGTCCCCCTTTGAGCTGGGACATCCACATCTGTAAAATGGGGCAATACTTCTCTTTTAGAGTTGAACTGAAAATCAGAAATTGGATAGGTAGAGAACCTACCACCAGCCCCAGTGCTGGGGCACCTAATACAAAGCAGCCATCCTCATCCTCATTGTCACTTGAACGAAGCCATTCCTTTCTCTCTTCTTCTTAATGAGCCACTCCAGTTGGAAACTGGGACAAGATCTCCCCAGGCCCACTCAGAGTGGGGAGCAGAAGGTAGGAAGAAGGGGTCTTTGTAAGTGCCCCACTCTGCATCTGTCCTGCAAGGTGCCCCCTTCTTCCCATCTCCATGGCCGCCCCCCTAGTCCAGGCCCTGTTCCTGGAAGGCTTCCTGGTTTCCTACCTCATTCCCCTGCAATATGTGCCCACATAGCGACCATGGAGACCCCTCGCTCCCCAGCTCCAGGCCCTCCCCCACTTTCTGAGCACAGCCCACCCCAACCTGGCCTTCTAAGGAGTCACCACCTCCTCTAACAGAGCCCTCTCCCTTCTCTGGAACACCCTGCACCTATGACAAGTCAGCAGCTCCCCAGCACATGCTGGTCCACTGGCCGGGAATGCACACCCTCACACCCTCTGCCCAAGACGGACTCTCACTCCCCCTCTGAGGCCCTGCTCCAAGCCTCTGGGAGGTTCGCACCCAGGGTTACAGACCCTCCTCTGCCTCACCGCACTGTGCTCCTCCCGTGCCGATGGGCAGGCTCTACGGAAAAGTACAGTGATCTCCTGCCTTACACATCTTCCTTCCCTACTATCTCTTCCTAGTCTACGTGGGGGCTGGGCCCCTCTGCCTGGGGCTGTCGCATAGTCTAGCACATAATAGGTACTTAATAAATATTTAGAACATGAATACATAAAGACCAGCTGCATCTCAGGAAAAGGAAAAACTTTCTAAACCCCACATTTGGGGACTACTGAACTTTGTGACCTTTGAGGCCATTTGCAATAGGTATTTGTGTGTGAAGGCCCTTTCGAAACTGTGAAGTGCTGTCCGTGAATCTCAGCTCTGGGTGTTCTCCGAACTCTGAGACCAGGGTATTGAAGCTTCTGGTCTCCGGGACTACAGATCCTCGGACTCCGGGAGGTTGCGGACCCAGCCCTGGGCCACTCTGTTGAAGTTGGGTCTGAGGCGGAGGAGTTCCAAGCCACTGGTGAGCTCCGGGATGAAGGGGGTGCCTGCCCTGGACATGATGTCCCCTGCCAGGGGTCCTCCAAAGGGCATGGGGGTCCTGGGGAGAGAAGAGCAGCAGGAGAGGTGGGCTGGGAGAGGCAGCCCACTGACATGGGGGTAATCAGGTGGGACCCCTCCCTGCCTCTCTCCAGGCCTCAGTTTACCCCTCTGTACAGCCAGGTTGTGTACGAAACCAGGTTTCTTCAGTTCTGCCCCTATTTGGAATGTCTTGTTACTTAGAAATAGCAGTGATGTTTTCAGAATTTGAATTGGCTTGTATTAGTCAAAACTCTAGGCTTCTCTCTACAAGTAAGCTCCTGGAGACGGTAGGGTTGGGTCAGGTTTTTTCCTTTGTCCTGTCCTCTCTCCTGAGAACATGGCACCACCTGCAGGGGAAGGGGTGAGTGAGAAAGAGCCGTGAAAACCAGGGGAGTGCGGATCACAGCGGCCCTGCGCTGCTGACCTGTAAGGCAGGTGAGAAGAAATAATTTGACGACAGGGCGGATTCTCACTCGTGCACCACTGCTGTGGGGTGGGGGTGGGGCACGGTGGGTGGAGGACAATTAAGCAGGATCCTTTAAACCGGCAAATGTGCAGATTCTGTTCACCTGCAAGCACGTGGCTTTGGGAGGCACGTGCACGTGTGCACAGGGAAGCAGACTGGAGCAGCGACAAGCCAGGACGACCCACTCGCTGTCCACTGGCAGGGGGGTGGATACGATGAATGTGCTACGGCCACACGCCGGGACCTTACACAGTGGCTTAAAGGCAACAAAAAGAGCTACATGTACTCAGTAGAGCTGAAAAGTATAGTGTTGAGTGAAACAAGCGAATTACAAAAAGAAGTGCAAAATACTAGCAGGCACACACGTACACACAGAACAATGCTATCCCTATGACAGCAATATCCGCGGGGGTCCGAGGCCCCCGGTGCGCCACGGGAAGATTCCGGACTAGTCAGGGCCTGCCCTCTTCCCTTCAGATGTCAACTAAAGGTGACAACAGCCACACAACAATAGCCGTCTGGTGTAGATGAATCAAAATTATACCAATTTTTTGTCAGATCAGCAAAAAAATATGTATTTTTGGTATACCACAGAATTTTAGCAATGAGTTTATGGTGCCAGGAGATGAAAAAGGTTGAAAACTGCTGCCCTATGTGTAGGTAGCTGCCCCTAGAGAATGTTCTGGAAACGTCCATACCAACCTTTGAGAAGGAACCTGGGCCCGGGGACTGTGACCATGGGAACCCCACCTGTTTGTAGCTGCACAGTGTGTTTACTTTTTTAAGAGACTATAAGTACGTGACTTTAAAACGATTTTTTTAATTTTAAGAGAAAGAAAAAGGCCCTGGCTGGCACAGGTCAGTGGATTGAGCGTGGGCTGCGAACCGAATGGTCGCCAGCTTGAGCCCCAGGCAGGGCACGTGCCTGGGTTGCGGGCCAGATCCCCCTGGGGGGGGGGGGGCACGTGAGAGGCAACCACATGTTGATTTTTCTCTCTCTCTTTTTCCCTCCCTTCCCCTCTCTCTAAAAATAAATAAAATATTTAAAAAAAGAAAAGGCACTGCGCATAGGATGTTTCCCCCATAGCCTGGGACCAATGGGAAGAGGAGACTGCTTGTCCCTGGGGTAGAAAAGTGAACCTGGGGCCAGAACCTGGGCTGCAGCCAGGGCAGGGCTTCTGCCTGGACCACCCCAGCTGTGGCATCAGCAGCCAGGCCCCACGGGGACGGGCTGGGATGGTTTTAAGCCTCACAGTCGGGCCCTTGACTGGGAGCCCAGAACCCTGGCTCCAGAGCCCAGCTTGGCCGCCAGCACTGCCGCTGCTCTCCTCACGCTGCCTCAGCTGGCCCTTCCACCCCAGCGTGATCTGGGCTCAGGGGTCCCCAAGACCCACCTTATGCTGGTGAGGATGTGCCTCAGGCTGTCACAGGAGGTGTCAGATGGGGCTGCAACCTGAGCTGGCCGGCCTGGAAGCTGGCTGTCAAGGCCAAATGTCTGCTGAGTGTTTTAAATAGCTGGGGAGGCAGGGTCTGCGGGCCCCAGGAGGTGAGAGCACAGTCCTGGCTGGCAGGAAACGCCAGGACATCTGCCAGGGCTCCTGGCTCCCACAGCGCTTGGGGGGGGGGGGGGGCGGTGAGGAGGCACGGGACACAATCTTTCCGGCAGGGCCCTCCTTGGCTTTGAGGGCAGTCACATCCAGCCCCCAGCAGTCTTTTATCGAAGCCCCTCACCCCCAGTTCCTGCAGCCCTCCCTGTGAGGCCCCCTCTGCAGGCCTAGCCAGGCCCCCCCCCCCCCCCCCATAGCCTTTGTGAGAGACACGGTCTGCCTGCGTGGTCTGAGCCAGAAGAGCCGGACCCAGCGAGGCCTCTCCGCAGACCCTCCGCACTCGCACGCACTGCAGCGAGGGCACGTTCCAGGGATGGCGTCAGGCTGAGGAGGCCAATGGCAACTGAGGTCCATGCCCCAGGCCAAGGCCTTCCTCCAGGGCTGAGTTCCGGTCTTGGCTGCTGTGATTTGTTTGGGGCCTCACAGGGCAAAATGTTAAATATATCCCTTTGTCCCCATTAGCCTTTCCAGCTAGCATTTCAACCTGTAAACAAGAATAATAGCCACTATTGTTTATGGAGAGCCTATTACTTGCCAGAAACTTTGCCTATGGCTTCTCACACCACCCTCACAACAATGTTTTGAAGTAGGTACTGTAGTAGTCTCATTTTACAGATGGGGAAATGGAGGCTCAGGGAGGTTGAGTCACTTTCCCAAGGCCACACAGCTGGCTGAGGAGCCTGATTTTACGCCCACATCGAGGCCCCATGCTCTAAACAGCACAAACCACTCCACTGTGGCCCCCACTCCCCGCTTTGGGGCAGCCTCCACGCTGCTTCCCAGATCACTGAGGAAAATGAGGAAAAGGCTGAGCTCCCCGGGACTGGCAAGGTCTGGGGCCCCCACCAGGGAAGGATGTGCCCCTCGATGCGCCTCATCTCTCACGTGGTAGTGACGGAGGACGAGAAGCCGGCCTCTGGGGCAGGCAGTCCAGACTCGGGCCCTAGCCCTGCCCTGCTTCCTTGCTTCGGAAACCTGGGCAGGTTGTGGATGTGCCTGAGCTGGTTTCTTCACAGGCAGAATAGGAAAAACTGGAGCACGGGCCGCCTCCGTAGTGCAGAGGATTCGACGGGAGGTGTGGCACATTCCCTGTACACTTACTGAGCACCTACTCTGTGCTGAGTAAAGAGTTCTAGTGAGTTCTAGCAAGAGCTCAGTCGCCGTTTATGACGTGTTCAGGTACAGCCTGTGCTCAGGAAATGCAGCCCCCGTAGTGGCCCCGACCGGCACCCGCACACCCTCCTGCGGGCTCTCCAAACTGCCCACCGACTTACTTGTTGAAATTTCGATACTCCGCAGGGCTGGGGGTGAGACTTCGGCCATCCCTCTGGTAGTCCCGGTAGCTGATGAACTCCTGCCACGGGCAGTGGTAGCCCTTGGGGATGACGGTGCAGTTGAACTTCTCTGGTGGGACACTCTTGAGTGGCTCAGCGTAGCCTGGAGGTGGAGCAGGGCACCTGGCTTCCTTTCCTCCCGGGACCCCACTCCCTCCGCCCACCCCGCGGATGTGTTTAGGGAGGGAAGGCCGACGCTGGGCAAGGGGAAGCAGGGCGGGGCGGAATGTGACACCCAAAGTCGACCCAGGGAAGGATACCCTGCCCCATCCCTGGAAACAAGGACTGGAGCAGGGGAATCACGGGTCGGGATGCAGATCCCAGTGTCGACGGGAACTCGAGTTCGCTGTGTGACCCGGGGCGCCGCACTGCTGCTGTTTGGGCTTGTGTTAGGTCCGTGGCCAGTGTGTGTTTGGGAAGGGAAGGAGGCAGACTAGTCGCTCTCTGGGTTCTCTTCTTGCCCCGCTGTGGCTTCTGGTCTTGGTCCCAGAGGCCGCTCACCTGGCGCCAGGGCGCTGGGGCTAGGGGCGCGCTCAGCCCGGGAAGCTGCGGGCCGGGCGTCTTCAGGGTCCCCGGGCGAGGCCGGGAAGATGTGGAGCTCAGAGCGGTAGTTCTGATCCTCCGGGCCGTTGGCAACCTGGGCACAGGGCGGGTGCTGAGAGGCGGCGGCCTTGGAGTCACTAAGTCCCATCCCCAGGGTCTCCCTGCTGTGAGTCTCCCTCCATCCTCACCTTCCCCTGCTGCTCTGTTCCTGTCACCTTCCCCCTGGTGCTTCCAGCTACCGACTGTGCAAGTTGAGTAGCAAATAAACAGCAGGGAAGCCAGCTTGGCAGGGGGCCAGGGATCACCCTCCACTGAACAAAGGAGGGCACCTGATCCTAGCACCCACCTCCCAGGGTTTTGGGAGGTATGAGTTACTAGTGCAGAGCCCTAAACCTGCTGCCTGGGACAGAGAGATGCTCTTATATACATTAGTTGCTATTATAATATTAACTCTGGGCAGATAAGCTCCCTGAACCTCAGTTTCCTTCTCTGTAAAATGGAGGTGATGATGCTAATAATATCACTTTCTGAGCAGACAAGGAGCTTATAACATGTAAAGTGACCAGCCAGCAGTGTCTTAGGTGCGTAGCAAGAGTAGGCATTCTGTCCTCTCTATTGTTCCGCCGTTTGACTCCTCGGTGGCTGCCGCCCCGCCCAGAAATGGGGTGGAGCGGGGATGAACTGCCCTGAGCTCAGCAGAAGTGCCTGAAGCTGCCTGCTGCCTTTCTGAAGCCTCAGGAAAAACAACCCTTCACCTCCTTTCCGTTCCACAGCCTTTTCCTCCTTCCAGCGGCAAGAAGAGAAAAAGGCATTCTGTGTTTCCTGTCTTAGGTCAAGTCTAATCTAAGTCTTGCTTGCTGCAGGTTCAGCCCAAGCACAGGACCGCTCATCGGCACTGTTTGCAGGAGCCACTGTCACCCCTTCGCTCCGCTTTGTGTTTTGTATCCGGAGCGAGGTGCCTGAAGAGGTGATAGTTTCCTGGGGTTGCACAGCAAGACGGGGGCCCAGTCTGATGGGGACGTCACAGCCTTCCCTAGCTGAAGCCTGCGGGACTCCCCAGGGACCCCGGGGTCCTCCCCTGGCTCACTGTTTGGGTTTAGGCAAACCACTGGCCTTCTCTGGACCCCAGTTTCCCTGTGAGCACAGTGGAACTTACCGGCCGCTGGCTGGCCGCAAACTCAAAGGTGAATTTCTGCACACGGCGCTGCCTCTTCTGGAAGAGGAGGGACCCCCGGTTGTTGCGCAGCGACAGCTCCTCCATCATTAAGTCCTGGGGCACGCTCAGCTTCTTGCCCAGGTCCAGCAGAGGCGCTGCGGGGGAGGCCAGAGGGAGCTCTTACTGCCTAGTGCTCAGGTTACTGGGAGCCACCTTCCAGGGGACCTCCTCACAGCACTGTCCGCTGTGTATGAGAATCACGGCTTCTCCCCGCACAGGGCATAGGCCAGCACCAAGTGTCATCATTCAGGGGACTCTGCCCACCTGGGGGGCAGAAATGATGCCTCAGAGTTTAATTTGCCTGTTTGGCGCTCAGTGAAATTGAACGCTGTTTCACGGGCTCTTTGGCCGTTTGTATTTCTTTATTCCATGGATTTCCTGGGCATCTCTTTGCCCACAGAGGTGGAGGTAGTGTGAAATGGTCAGATTCTAGGTATCTTTTAAAGGTGGGCCATGGTTGGGGGCGTGAGAGAGAGGGGTGGAGGATGCTGGCAGGCTTTGTGGCCTGGGCCTCTGGAGGGACCGAGCGGCTACTTCGGAGGACGGGGAGGGTCTGGAGGAGGAGAAGGTGTGGGAGAGCCGGGGGTTCAGTTTTACACGTGTTCCTATAACTTTGAAATAGCCTTTTATGATGATAAAACATTATATATCTGTATTGAAGAAAGTTAGAAAATACAGATATAATCCCTGGCTGGTGTAGCTCAATGGATTGAGCGCAGGCCTGCAAACCAGATCATGGTTTGATTCCCAGTCAGGGCACATGCCTGGGTTGCAGACCAGTTCCCGGCAGAGGATGCATGAGAGGCAACCATATATCTCTCTCCCTCTCTCCCTCCCTTCTAAAGATAAATAAATAAAAATTTAAAAAAGAAAATTCAGATATAAGAGAAGGAAAAATGCCATTTTTATATCACTCAGAGATTGCCACTATTAACATCTTAGTATACATCCTTTGATGTATTTTTTATGACTATATGTTCATATGAGTTTTAAACTGAAATGAAATCATAGCCTGCGTGCTTTGTAGCTTCTTTAATCGACTAAAGGTCTCCACCTTTCCAAGGTAACAAATTTTTGCTTTCTATAATGCTTACTCCCTACTCCAAGCCCTCTGATTTTCCCCACAGTCGGGTACACATGCAAGCGGAGAGTCTCATGTCCCTGGGAGAAGGCTGACCTGAGGCGGAGATCCGGCCATCGTGAGTGGTCGGTGGTATTTGTTGTGCTGTTTGCAGTGAAGAGCATCGCATTTCTTTCTTTTTTTACAGTTAGGACCACAGCAGGTTTACACCCTGGGGCCCCCAACCTTTGGACTGAGGAAGTGAGACCCCAGACCTGGGGGCCAAGCAGGAGCACCCAGAGAGGCAGAAGGAAATCTGGGGTGTGGTGTCCCGGACCCCGAATGACGAGCGCGTTTGGGGAGGTGGGTGACCCACGCAGTCAGGAGCTGCTGGTGTGTGGGGTGAGACGACGCTACATCGGTCACGATCTTTACTGATGTGCTTACTCTTGGTGATCCTCACAGAAGCAGTTGCTGGGGAGTGTTTGGGTGCACAGGGCTTATTGGAAGGAGTTCCAGCGAAAATGGATGGAGGAGCAGTTTGACCACCAGGGAGCAACGAGCCACATCTAGGAGGTGGAACCTTCATGGGGCAGCTGGCCTGGCTCCTTCGAAGGAGTGAATGCCATGGAAAATAAGTGAGGGTTGTTTTAGATTAAAGGGGACTTAAGAGACATAGCAACCAAATAAAAACAGTGGCCCTTGTTTTGATCTTCACTAACAAAATAGAAAATTGGAGACGGCTGAATATGAGACCGGTTATTAGGCAGTATTCTATCCATATTGATAATTCTGTCCCTCCATGTCTTTGTGGCATGTAGGGAAATGTCCTTTTGATGCTTTTGATGGACTCAGAAATATTCAGAGCATGAAATGACATGCACTTTTGGATTTGCTTTGGATTCCAGGAATAAAAGGAGGGCCACGGGGATTTGCACTCTGTACTTTTATGTGTGTTTGGAAGTCACCTTGATAAGGTATTAAAAAAAGAGGAAGAGGAGCGGAAGAAAGTAGAGGTGGCTGCTTTGAGGGGCTGTGCCCCACATGGCTTTGGCAGAAGGCAGGTGTGGAATCAAGAGTGATATTTGTTTGCTTGTGCGTTTGTTTTTAAAGAAGGAGAAATAACTGCGTGTTTGTGAGCTGACGGGAAAACTTAACAGCACAATGTACAGAGAGGATTCTTGAGCTGGGGACTCCTCCCAGCTCAAGGGCATCTGGTGCCCACCTAGAAGGGTGGGCTTCAGACAGGGGCAAGGAGGTTCATCTACCACATCAGGAAGGACAACTGGGAATGTGGACCCAGGGACAAGCAAGTGGACAGACGTGAGGGAGGCAGCCTGCAGATGTTCCCTTTTGGTGACTGGACTTTCCTCAGTGGAAGAAGAACGAAGGTCATTCACTGAGAATGAAGATGGAGGAGGAGATACTGGATGCTTGAGGAGAGAGGTTGACAAGGTTGCCTGACAGCAGTGTGACAAGGGGCCAGGTCAGAGATGGGTGCGGCCACCAGGCGGACCCGAGGCTGTTCAGGGTCTGTGACTCAGTCCATTCAAGGCTGGACTGCTACATGGTCTTTTTAAAAAAGAGGTTAAGGGTCTTTTCATTCTTTCAGCAAAGTTAGAGAGAGCACCATCTACATGTTGAGGGCACAGAGAAGTCTACTGTAGGTCCAAAGCAGGGAAAGTGAGTTTCAGAAGAATTTGTATTCTGAGGTCCCACTCATATCTTTTATTTTATTTAATTTTTAAAAAATATATTATTTATTTATAGAGAGAGGAGAAGGGAGGGAGAAAGAGAAAGAGAGAAACATCAATGTGTGGTTGCCTTTCAGGCGCTCCCACCGGGGACCTGGACTGGGAATCAAATCAGAGGCCCTTTGGTTCACAGGCCCACACTCAGTCCATTGAGCCTCACCAGCCAGGATCCACTCATATATTTTATTTTTATTTATTTTAAAGATTTTATTTATTTATCTTTAGAGGGGAAGGGAAGGAGAGAGGGAGAGAACTATCAATGTATGGTTGCCTCTCATGTGTTCCCTGCTGGGAACTGGCCTGCAACCCAGGCATGTGCCCTGACTGGGAATTGAATTGCAATCCTCTGGTTCGTAGGCCCATGCTCAATCCACTGAGCTACACCAGCCAGGGCCCACTCATATATTAAAAAAAATAAATATATGCTCATGCACACATTGAAAAACCCACAGGGAGATAGATATACCTAATATTAGCAGTGATGGCTTGTGGGACATAGGAAGGGGGAGGTCTGGAAATTGCACTGTTTTTTTTTAATAGAAAACGGAGAACAAAATTTCTCTCCTCTCTCCTTCCCTTCCCCTCTAAAAATAAATAAATAAAATCTTTAAAATAAATAAAAATAAATAAATAAATAAATAAATAAAAAAAGTGACCTAGAATCAATCCTTTTATACACCATAATATAAATAAAAATTTAAAAAAAAGAAAATTTATTGCACATGTGAAAATATAAGAGACTATACATAAATGCATAACAATAATGGTGTTTTTATTATTATTCCTCTACAATGGGTGTCTTTTGGTAGCAAAGCCGTGATTTTTTATTCTCTTTCTAGTTTTCTTTAGTTTCAAAATTGTGTTTACTTATTACACTAGCCATCGTCAGCAGTTTACATATTTCCAGTCTGGCATAAATGATGTGTGTTGATATTTGGGGGTCTAATGAATTACTTAGGCCCAAGAAGAGGGGATGCAGGGCCCAGTTCTTCTAGTTAGAGCGCCAGCACTTCACAGAGTTTGTGTATTTCAGCACACGCAATCATGGAATAAGGAAAAGAGACTTGACTCCAACAAAAGGAGGCAAGAACATGCAAAATAGGTTAAAAGGATGACTCACATATAAAGCCGTTCAACATGATTAAGTGCTTCTTAGGAGGCCAAACCTAGCAGTGGTCTTGGGTGAGGCTTCATCAGAGCACGGTTCATGGGCCCCATCGCCCGCCCCCTCAGCCCCCAACACCCCCTCAGGGGAATCACCTGGGCACCTGTCTGAAAGGCAAATGGATGGCTCCTCCAGGGCCACTGAATCAGAATCCCTGGGGTGTGATCACTTCATAAGTTGCTTAAAATGCTGCAAATCCACATTTTAAGCAACTCCATGTCACTGTGATTCACATGAAAGTTTAAGAGCCCTGACTTAACTGAATTTGTTTTTAAAATACTTGAAATGCTCTAAATTAGGCCAAATAAACAGACTTTAAAATTATGACAAGAGCTCTGGAAGAGGTCTTAAAAAGTTGATAAACATGTATTTTAGATGATATATTCATTGGATGAGCCGGCTTTTAAATGAACTGGTTTGAGTTTGGTTGGGTAGCCTGCTCTAGCCAGCCTGCCCCGCTCTTCCTCACCCCTGTGTCCTGGCACAGGGGCTCCGTGGGGCGCACGGTTTCAATAAGCAAGGACAAGCGTGTGGGGAGCATGGGGCTCCAGCTAAGGCTGGATCTGGGACTGGAGCCTGCAGAACTCCGTATGGGACTGAGATAAGGGCGTAGCTGGGGCCAGGCCTGGTCTGGGGCCCAGGCGGCAGATTTCCCAGGCACTCCCTTGGGGCCGACCTGGAACTCACACCTGTTTTTGTGGGCTGGGGGCCAGAAGGCCCGAGTGGCTGCAATCTGGGACCAAGGAAGGATGGGGTCTGAGGAACGCACGAGGGCTGGGTCCACCTTACCTGGTCCAGCTTGGTCGCCCATGGCAGCCATCACTGGCTCCTTCTGCTCCTTGGGGATCATCCTGTAGATGAGATGATCCATGAATGGGCCAGGCTGCCTCCATTGCCCTCCCAGACCTCCTCCAGGTCCCCAGCCCATCCAACTCCAGCCCACCCCAAAGCCTCAGGCAAGGGCTGTCTGAGCTGGAAGGGCCTTTGGGGCCTCTCTGTGCAGAGGAGGAGGCTGAGGTCCAGGGAGGGTGGGGGAGATGTTCAATCTTCCTTACACTAGAGAAATGCTCTCTCTTCAGGGGTAATAATAGCTGGGGTGCTAAGGGTGGGGAAGGTGAGGGTCTCCAACTTTTCTTCTGCTGACTCGGGAGCTCTGATCAGTGGCTGAAAGAGGTGGGGGGGGACACGGGGTCGGGGTGGGTAGGCTGGGGTGACATGGGGGTCTGCAAGTCTGGCCCTCCCCCGCTGTCCCCAGTACTTGGCACTAAGGCATGAGGGCACAGGCTGATCCAAGGGAGCTGGGAAAGCCATCACCCCTTCCTCTGCTCAGACCTAACTTTCATGATGCTCTCTTTTATTTTAATATTTTTATTTTTAAATTATACTGGACATATAATAGGGTGATTAGGCATTTATACAACTTATGAAGCGATTGCCCCAATAAGCCTAGCACCCCATGGTGCTCTCTCCTTCCTCACCCCTCTCTTTCTCCTCCTCTGGGTCCCCATTTGTATCTCCTGGCACTTTCCAGGAAATTTACAAATGAGGTCCGGAGTCCCACCAAGCCCCTGAAGGCCCCGGTCCAAATCCCCTCACTTGTCCCCCAAAGAGAAGACAGAGCCCGTGAGCCCCCTGACCGACTACAGACCCCTGTGCCCGTCTGCTTTGCCTCCAGGTTTATTCCATGTTCCTTCCTTTAGAAAGACGATCTGCCTCCATCTGTTCCCCTGACGCCTGCTCCCAGCCTAGATCGGTGGGCGCTGAGCGGGGTGACCTGGCATCTGATCGGTACCCTGACTCCCTCTGTAATTGTTGTGAGCAAGTTGCTTTCCAGCTCTGTGACTCAGTTCCCCCATCTGTAACGTAGGGGGTTGGGCTAGATCATGGAGATCCATGGACAGGCTTCCAGAGCATCCACAGGCCCCTTAAACTGGGTGCAAACACGAGCAGTCTGCATGAGTTGGGGTGAAGGCCATGAGGTGGCTGAGAATGCTCCAGCTATGAGCACCAGGGCTCCGCAGTCTGCAGATCTGCTTCCTGATGGACACTGCCCCCAACACACACCGAAATTCACAGAGGCTCAGATGGGCCCCTCATTTTCCAGGCTGGGACCCTGCTTCCCTCCACGATGTAAAGATTTTGGAGTTCTAAGCAGAGCCATTACCTATCCCCACCTCGAATCCTGGCCACCTCTACCCCATTTAACCTGGAGTAATCTAGGGCTTAGATCCCCTCCTGCCCCAGCTCAGGACTCAGGTTTCCGCAAGGCCCCCCGCACTCCCCAGATCCTCTGCAGGAGGGCCTTTCCTCTGCTCCCCGTGACAGGAAGGGGCTCTGAGGATTAGCTCATCCCTCCGCCCACTCCCCACAGCTCCACAAGTTCCCCTCGGATGGTGGTACCTGAAAGGTGAGATCGCAGTGGCAGAGAGAGTGTGAGACCCTCAAGATTAACACCTCTGTTGGGAAGCTGCAAGTTGAATGGTCCGTGTTCCTACCTCGGTCAGACGGTCAGTGAGTGGAATGTGCCCTGCAGTCAGCTCCAGCCTCAGCTGACGAGAATCCTTCCTGCCTTGTCGTGGCTCACAGCCTTATTTCGGGCTGCAACAGGATCCAGGGACAGATGCTAAAAGCACCAGGCCCCAGGGAAGACAGGTGCCCCGCAGCAGGCCCTTGCCGACAGAAGGGTTTGGTGCACGTGTACACACACACACGTTCATATGCACACACCAAAGTCACCTGGAAATGCTGGGAGTCTCCAGTCACTTGAGCCTGCTAATTGTATCCTTAGTGCCTAGAAAGGGTCCTGATAGGATCACCATAGATATTTGTTGGATGGATGGATGGATGGATGGATGGATGGATGGATGGATGGATGGATGAATTGTCCTTCAATATCTTTGACTTACGTATTCTTTCTTTCCTTCCTTCACATCTTCCTTCTTCTTTCCCTCCTTCCTCTCTCCCTTCCTCCACCTTCTCACATTCTCTGAGCCTCTCTCTCTGGACTGAAAATAAATGAAGCAGGACTCTGTGCTGAACTCAGCCAGCCCGAGTCAGGCCCGTAAATAAGCCTTTGAGATGCATCATGGGAAATGCTCAGGGAGCATCCAGGGGACGGTGCCATCAGCTTGGCCTGAGGGTGGGGAAGGCTTCCCAGAGGAGGAGACATTTGAGCTGGGCCTTGAAGGCTGAGTGGGAGTTAACTGGGCAGAGAAAGGACACAGGAATTGCAGGCAAAGGCCGAGTCACGTACAAGGATGGTAGGGGATGGGCAAGCAGAACCAGAACTGGGAGGAGGGGGAGTGCTGAGAGATGAGGCCAGGCAGGTGGGCAGGGGCCAGATCATAGCAAGCTTTTCAAAAGGCAAGTGTGCTTTATAAAGAGCCGTTGAAGAGTTTAAAGTGGTGACATGGAGGGGTCAGGCTGGCATTTTTCCAGAGACGTCTCTGGCTGCCATATGGAAAGTGGAGGGGAGGGAGCCAGACGGGGCGGGCCTTCACCGTGATCAGGGGAGGGCTGGGGGTGGCTGGATGGGGCAGTAATGGGGGTGTCTGGAGGATGAGAGGGACTGGGGGGTCCTGGTGAGAGACTGAGTGCCGAGGTGAGGGGAGGGCCAGTCAGGGTCTGGCTCAGGTGACTAAGGAAGGTGACAGGAGAGGAGCGTGTAGAGTTGGGGACGAGGCAGATACTGAATCCATTTGGGATGAACTTATTTTGAGGTGTCTGGGGAGTAAGATCAGGAGGCAGGGGGATACTGTGTTCAGGGGAGGTTCCAGCTAAACATAAAGAGTGAGAGGCCCAGCAATCACTGCCTTGGAAAGGCAGGACCAGCAGGCCTGCCCTGGGTCCAGGGCAGGGAGCATCTGTACCTGTATGAAGGGACACGGTGCAAGGGCATACATGTCTGACAACTGCTTAGGAAGATGCCTGGACGCTGCTGTGGACTGCCTGAACTCGGCTTTCTGCCACTCGGGTTCCTCTGTCCAGCCTCTGCAGGGTCTCAGCTTCCAGACAGGAAGGTGAGGAATGAGCCCAGGGCAGGCGTGGCCTTCCCTGGGAGTGAGGTCACATCCCCTTCTCAGGAAGAAGGATGCCCCCATGAGGAGAGGAACACTCCAGTGGTTGAGGTCCTGAGCTCACTAGGATTGTCTGGACTTGGGTGTGATCTCCTCCCCCTGCCCAGAGCCCTGACCTGCCATGAGGAAGCAGCTCCAGAGCCCTGGGTCCTGCCCCAGCTTGGGCCTGCATGCTCTAGTGACAGTACCCTGTGGTCAGGGTCTGGGCCAACCCACCTAGACACATCACCTAACCCGGCTCACTCATTACGTAGACAGGGAAACTGAGGCCGGGAGAAGGAGTGGGCTTGCCCCGGGGCACCCGGCTAGTAGGCCACAGGACCGGGTCTTCAGCTCAGTGACTTCTTCTATGGCGCAGAGTTTTTCCATTGTTCCCTTTCTCTCCTCATGGCTGCTCCTTCCCATGTGTGTTACACATTCTCATCTATCCAGAGTCCCAGGGACTGTCCCGTGGTTGGGAAGAAGGGAAGGAGCAACCTTCCCTGGCCCTATGGAGAAGGGCTTTACACACAGCTGAAATTGACCCAGGAGGCAGAAGGTTGCAGGAAGCGTTTATTCAGGGCCAGAGCTGAATTCTATAGGAGGCAAGAGACGGACACCGGGGGAGAGGAGAGGACTAGGGGAGAAGGCAGTGAGGTGAGGGCATAGCCAGGCAGAACTGCAGCTAAGGCTGCTTCCTGCTGGCTCTTTGGGGATATGCAGGTAGAAATAGATATTCTATGCCACCACATCAGCTGGTGGCCTCAGCATCTCTTCTCTGAAACAGGCCTTAGCCTGTCTTCCATGCTACAAGGGACCCTAAAGCACATGAGGACTTTGGTAAATGTGGTCACTCGTCGCTGACCAAGCTGGAGCACCTGCTCATCTCCCCACCGACAGGGCCTTTGTTCCCAATCCTTGGACCCTTGGTACCCTCTGGGATCCCTTCTTTATTCCAAGCACTCCACCCACATCCTGACCCCCAGTTTCTCCTAGCCTCTCTTGAGGGTTCAAATGAGGAAGTAATTTGGGGTTAGGGTAAGTCTATCCCAAACCCCACACTCTGTCCTTCATCTTTAGCAACATCCTAGTTTCCTACATGCTTTTGATCCTCAGCCAATCCCAATAACCCTCCCCCGCCTGCACCCCTGCACTTAATATCCTCAAGCAGATATTCTGAACCTCTAGAGGGCACCACCAGCCAACTCTGGAAATGGTTGAACTACCGCCTCCCTCCCTTCCTAATACCGTAGAATGAGTTCCAGGACTGGAAGAGCCCTCAGAGGCCATCTGAGCCAAACCATTTTCCACTAGAAGCTCCTCTAGCATCCTGGCCACTGCTTGCATCCGTGCTGTAACAAGGAACTCTTTGTGTCCCTCTTTCCATGCTGGCAACCTCAAACCCAGGGCCATCAGGTAAAGCCGCAGGCTCGTAGAAAGCTCCATGTGCTGCTGAAAAGGTCACCATGAAAGGGCCCAGAAGAGATAGGTGGGTTGGAGGCACCTAGAGCAGGCCTGGAGGCTCAGCCCTGGGGGCAACCACTGCCTCATAGCCTCTTCTCTGGCTGCAGATAAGATGCCCTGGGCAGTCTGAGCTGGGGTGGAGAAAAACAGAGGGATGTGGGAGGAGGAATCTTCCCGCCTCTTCTGTCCAGAGGAGCCGGGCACCTTGAGCTGGCCTGGAAGACCTCTCTAAAGGTCACCATGGTAAAAATAGAGCTTGTCTGGGCAGGGATGGAAAACAGCTGCTACTGCCTGGGACTTGGAGCCAGGAAGGCAGACGGTCAGGCTGGGACCTGGGCAGGGAATTTAGGCCTAGGATCTTTTGAACACACCCCTCATTTGCCAGACTCCAGAGAGCAGAGCCAGGAAGGGAGGGAGGAGTATGGAACCCTGGGATGAAGCAAGTCCAGGGGTTCATGTACACAACACCCTGCCTTCTCCAAGGCATGTGTGCGTTGATGGGAGTGGGCATTTAGAGATTTGGAGATTACTTCAGCCAAAGTCCCAGTAAGCAGGTGGAAAAGCTGAGGGTCAGAGGAAGAGTCTTGCCCAGGTTCACACCAGGGCTGAGTGATAAGAGTTGGGGCTGTGTCAGTACCCCACCCTCAAGCCCAGAGCCTTCCTTCCTGGCCCTTTATTTCTAGGGCTGTCCAAACAAGCCAGACCCCTTGGGGACATGGTGCTGAAGTATCCCAAGTTTGAGGACTCTTCTTTCCGGCTGGGCCCTCCCGTGGTGGAGGATGCGTTGGAGGCGGGGGAGGTTTTAGGTGGTGCAGGAGGCCTCGGCGGGGAGGCTGCCACGCTTGAGCCTCAGGCTCCCGTTCCACCCGCGGGGACAGATGTTGTAGCCGAGGATGCCGGGCGACTTCGCCCCGGAGTCCTCGGAGTCGAGGGACACGTCCGAGTCCGTGGGTGAGCGGCGATAGGGGAAGGGCCTGGATGGTGCGGGAAGCGGGCTGCGGGGACTGGCACAAGGCGACGGCCCAGCCAGTAGCGGGCCCCGCTGAATTGGGGCGAACGTGGCCGCAGCGGTGGCTGCCGGGCCGGGGCGGGCAGGCTGCGGCGAGCGCATGCGCGGCGGCGGCGGCGGCGGCGCCCTGGGCGGGGAAAAGGGCCGCAGGCTCTCGGTGCCCGCCGGCCGCGGGGAGGCGCTCTTGCGCCGGGCCGCGTTGATTATGTTTCGCGCCAGGAGAGCCTGCAGCTGTCGGCTGGGGGGCCGCACTTCGGTCTCAGGTCGTTGCGGGGACACAGAGCGCTCGCTCCACGAAGGGGACATGGGTGGCGGCGGCGGCAGTGGCGGGGGGCTGCTCATGCTGCTCCCGCGGCCGGGCTCCCACGGCCGCGGGCTCACCCAGCCGTCCAGGCTGCTGGGGGGCCGGGACGTGCCCGGCGTCCAGGGCGGGGAGGTGGGCAGGCTCTCGCGGCGATCCTGTGGAGAGAGCAGAGACGGTGGGGGCAAGCGTTAGAGTTGGGGTCCTCCATACCGGAATTGCGGAAGGGTTCGAGTTTGATTTGTCTATTGTACAGTCAAGGAAGCCAGCGATCAAAGTCGGGTAGTGACTACAATAAAACGTAGGTGTCCCCAGTCTCAGTCCAGATGCTTAAAAAAACCCGTGCTGCCCGGCCCTGTGCTCAACAGGGAGGCAGGTGACTGGTGGTTAAGAACGCTCGCTTTGCAGACAGACCCCTGTACTTTCGGAATGAACTTGGGCAGTCGCTTCAATAGCAGAAGCAGCTGGAAACCTCTGGACTTCCTTTTCCTCCCTCTGTAAATAGGGTCTCATACCAGCACGTACCCTGTGGGGTTGTTGTGAGAATTAAATGCGGTAACTGATGTGAAAGACTATTCACGTGTTAGAAGGTTTCCTGGAAGGAAGAAAGTGCTCACTAGATGTTAGTTGCTATAAAGAAAGAAATACTGGAAGGATTCACATGAAACTAAGCAAAATGGTTCGTTAGAAACTGGGCAAGCCACAGGAGTGGGAATAAGGCTTTTAATGCATTATTTTTTAATGTAAGTTTAGGTTTTTGAACCTCATGGTACCATACTCCCAGGGTTCCATACTCCTATTCAAAAATTTTAAACAAAAACATTGATTTTTTTTTAAAGGTTGGATTTAAGACAAAGGCCATCCCAGCCCTCATTCCATTGCCATGGTTGCCTTCTAATTTCTCCTGGATGCCTTGAACAGGGAGTAAGTTCCCACTGACAGATGGAAACAAAAGGAAGTTGGGCCATTCCTCGCTAGGCAGCCTGTTCCCCTCAGGGGACTTCTTGCTGGCATGGGGTGGGACGGGGCAGGGGAGTGTGGACTTCTTTGAGGTTATAAAGCACTGCCCTGCTCTGTACCATCATATTTGTTTTCTACCTACTTAGGGACTTTCCAGTCCCCGAGGTTCAGTCTTATACTCTGTCTCCCACTAGGTCCTCACAACAGACTGGGGAGGTAGCTGGCATTATCGCACCCATTTTACAATGATGATGAAGT